AAAAAAAGATACAATTATTGGAATAAAGAAGTTGTGTTGAGCGTGGTGAGTTAACTTTGGTTCGAAACTTCGACCGAGATTCTGCATCTAAACGGCCGGTCAGAGCCAGGAGAGAGAGAGAGACCTCTTTTGGTGCATCTGCAACAAGTTGTGCCTTGCAGTCATCGACGGAACGGCGTAAAACGTTTTTAGTGCGGACGTCAATTTTGTGCTGAAGATGGCGAAAGCTTGGGGGAGATTATCCAATTCTCTTGAGCAAAAGGAAGAGGTGAAGACGAAAGAGAAATGATAGCAGAGAAATAAGGCCATGAATAGTTTTGAAAACTCAGAAGTAAATCATCATCAGCTATGATCAATCCACTGCTGGATGAATGCCTCGCCCTGCCGCGTGATGCAGCGACCCATCCTGCGCAGTGAATCTCAGAGTGTGGTCCGCGATGCGCCTCTGCGTCGCGCGGCACTTGGTCCGGACAATAATGACAACGTGTATTGTGACTTTTGTTTCGGACATTAATTACTGTTTCACTTGCGATATTTCATTTCCAATGAAGTTAGGTTAACTACCCTGATTAAACTACTATAACCTTAAGATGTCAATCTCCTCCTCCCCCTAACAAAAAAAACCCCTTATAGCTGCATTAAAATATTTTTGTTATATTCCGGTAATATGAATGATTTTGTATTCGTGGTATTTAGAGAGAGGGAGAAGGGAATGTGTTTTGTCGCCAGGAGTGGTAGGCTGGCTGGGTGGTCCGCAAGCCAAACCAGTCCTGAGAAAACGGCGCTCGAGCACCTACGCTCGGGTTCACCAAAAAAAACCTAGAACCAGAGGAATTACGTCAAGGCCCAGTTGGGTTGTACCCATCCTTCCAGAAAAGTCACCAACAAAAACCTAGAACCAGAGGAATTACCTCAAGGCCCAGTTCGGTTGTGCCCAGCCTTCCAGAAAAGTTACCAAAACAAACCTAGAACCAGAGGAATTACCTCAAGGCCCAGTTCGGCTGTGCCCATCCTTCCAGAAAAGTCACCAAAAAAAACCTAGAACCAGAGGAATTACATCAAGGCCCAGTTGCGTTGTACCCACCCTTCCAGAAAAGTCACCAACAAAAAAACCTAGAACCAGAGGAATTACCTCAAGGCCCAGTTGGGTTGTACCCATCCTTCCAGAAAAGTCACCAACAAAAACCTAGAACCAGAGGAATTACGTCAAGGCCCACTTGCGTTGTACCCATCTTTCGAGGAAAGTCACAAACAAAAACCGGGAACAGGAGGATACATATACACTGGTGTTTATTATTATGCATACCATGTCGTCAAGTACATTGCTGTGTACGAACATTAGCATCGCAACGAGTTGTTTAATGAAAACAATTGTCGTGAAAAAGAAACCAAGCGGGGCCCGTTTGCGTGTTGGTTGAACCCGCCGTCTGTCATCGTGGTCACAGACAATCTGGGGTGGGGAGTGGAGTCCTGCAAGGTACGCGACTGTAGTGCTGCACAGAGATGAATTTGTGCATGCGGCTGTCGTGCTGCACGGGGCCACAGTGCTGCACGGGGCCACAGTGCTGCACTGGGGGACAGTCCTTCATGGTGGGCATATCACCGTGCCTAACAACCTCAAGTGCTTACAAATAAATAGACAGAATAAACTTGAACAGCAAATGAAATGTTAAGACAAAACTTCTAAACTTTTAGTTTACAAACTAAAATCATGGACTCAGAACTCCTGATTGATAGAGGGAGACAGAGCCACAAGGTAGGCGTTGCAGAGAGAAAGGCGCTGCCCGCAATATTTTTGGCGGAGCTTGTACCTGCAACAGTGCAGCGTTCATCGAAAGCTTCAAATCAAGTTTGAACCACTTCTACGGAGAGGATTTCCACACAACTCTCACTTAACTTCTAATTTAGCAATCTTTGGAAGAACGTAATCAACCAGGCAAAGCGCTAACTGTTGTGTTAACCGACTTTCTGTGCTGAATTGCATTACATTTCCAAATTTTACTAAGTTTGTTTTATCAAACTTCCTATTTCACTCTCTAAATTTTACCAGGTTTGTCAAGTTCCAATTTTCTCTGTCTATAGGTCCATTTTCTCTCCTCCGGCCGCTCTCATTGACATGTTAATGTATCTGCCCCCCCCCCCCCCCCCACCCAGATAAACAGAGTCGCTGTTTATCTGTGTGTCTCTGTGTGTATCTCTCTCTGTGCGTGTGTCTCTCTATGTGACTCCGTGTCTGTGTTTTGTCTCTCTCTCAAATTTAGAAATCTTTGGAAGAACGTGATCAACCAGGTAGGGTGTTTACTGTTGTGCTAGCCGACTCTCCGTGTTCTATTGCATTATATTTCTAAGTGTACTAGGTTTATTTTTTCTCATTCATTCATACCTGATGACAGTTGCTTGTGTTGCAATCGAAACGTCGTATTCTATTATTATTTAATTTATTTTCTTTCTACGTGACTTTACCGAAAAAAACAAAGAGTAATTCCTGCAGTCACGAAAACTTCAAATCAAGAATGATTATTATAATTGTATTTATCCAGGAAGTCAAACGACTCTTTTTGCAGGAGGGTCCAGCATTGGGTTTTTATTTTAAGATGTTTTTTTCAGGCAATGAGCGATGGGTCGTGTTTATACGCATGGGAGGAAACCGGAGCGCCCGGAGAAAACCCACAGACGCACGAGGGGGCAACGCTCTATCCCCGTAAAGGTGGAAACAGATGGCGTATTAGTCCCCTCCCTGTTCTGCCTTCTCCTGGCAAGCCAGGGTATGGCGCCTCCTCGATGCTCATGGGAAGGGTGTTTGACGTGTGTGTGTGTGCGTCTGATCCACCAACCCTCGCCTCCGTAGTGTTGCCAAGTGGGGATCATGTGATGTGGTTTTAAACACTTTCTACACCGTTTTCCACTTGTTATCACTTGATCAGTGCTACGGGTAGAAGAAGCGCCAAGCAGAAAACCGTTATTGTCGGACCAACGCCTGGGGAAAGATAGTGGGAGCGCTGCCCTTTTGCGAGGCAAAACGTTTATAAGGTAAGATTAATTGTGAAACACTGCTATTCAATTTGTCGTTCAGTGCCACACCATTGAAGTAGTTTTTGCATCGGACAAGTACATTGACTTCACGCACGCCGGTGTGCTCACACCAAGTCGGAAGGCACGGCTCCCATCATACCTTGCAAGCATGCCACGTGACCACAACATTTGCATGTGCAATGCTCTAAGCTTGGCCTAAGCCACCAGCACGAATAACTAACTGTGGTCGCATTCTTCATTTCCTCTTGCATGCATATAGGCGCTATTGGTTTTTATTATTATTACACGCTTTTATTTAACTACCTCTTGTCTGTTGTTGTTGTCGTTGTTGTTGTATCCTCAAATCTTGTAACTAAATTCTAACCCACTTCCAAATGAGGTATCGACTGCAACTTGGTATATTTATGTCATACTGATGACAATACTATATTCTATCATACAAATATATATACGTCCTACGCTTTAAATTTTTAGTCAGTTACAACAACAGTATATTAAACATATACAATGCAAAGTACTTGAACATACATTTTTTATAAACACTTTTTAGTACATTTCATAAAAGCGTGTTTAAAAAAAAGTTTTTTGTTAACATATTATTCACTGTATAACAGCAGTTACAGTTATTCCGGCCTTTCTTAAGTGTGAGAAACCTTTCATTTTCGTAAATTTAAATCTCTCATTCACAGTCGCATATCCAGGTTCCGTTGCTAATACTCCTGTACATTTTAATTATAATGCCAGAACTTTCCAAGTTTTTTGCTTAGATCACGTGAATATAAATGCGTCGTTAAACCCGCCACCACCCGACACAGCAAATTAGTAAGGTTTGTCACGTAAACAAAACGTGCCAATTCTTTACTAGTTCAGCACACCGGTGTGTTGGAGAGTAAACTCACAACATTTAGCATTGGAGTACGAGGTTTCGTCAGTAATTATTCTGAAATTATAACCAGTCTCATCAGGCGACAACCAACTCTGCCTGATAGCCAACGCTGGCTAATTGCCTGATGATGCGAGTTGTAATCACCGGCGAAACGTCGTACTCGAATGGTAAATGTTGCGGGTTTACTCTCCAACACACCGGTGTGTTGTACTGGTAATGAATTGGCACGTTTTGTTTACGCGACAAACCTTACTAATTGGCTATGTCGGGTGGTGGCGGGTTTAACAACACATTTATATTTAGGCGATCTAACCCAAAAACCTCTATTATGGGTTCTCCACAAAGACGCTCATGATTATACTTTGTGCAATGTATTTGCATAGATCAGTGTCAAACTAGGATCCATTTCATGGGTGAAGGCGCGGACAAAAATGTGACCTGTTTGTCACGAAACCACATTCTTTGATGGTGTGCGTTCAGAGTTGTTTTCCACCAGCACCAGAGTTTGCCGTGCTCAAAAGCATACCCTGTAAAAATAGAAAATACCATTTGGATGCCTAACGATGTCACAGGGCATCGATCGTTGTGCCGAGATTTACTTAAAATATAGGCCGAACTAGCAGCCAACAGGTTCCTCCAAGGTATCAAGAATGAACTTGATTAGGCGCTTTCGTGACAGCAGGAATTACTCTTTGGTTTTCTTGGTAAAGTCACGTAGAAATAATAATAATGTATGCTATTATGTAATTTTATTTTTAAATTATTTCTACGTGACTTTACCGAAAAAAACAAAGAGGATCAAGAATGGTTTGAGCTGTAACTATAAACTACTGGAATGCTGTAATCGATGACTGGGCTGGTTACTGATTCGAGATAAGCTCAGTCCACAACCGGTAAGTGCTCTGCGATGAGGATAGTGCAATCACCACTACCATTAATCTTTCCTTGATAATCGATTTCGTTTTAATTGTAGGAGACAGTGGCCATACCAATCCAGAGTGTTTACGTTTCTTGTTATTTATAAGAGCAGGGTGCCTGAAATGTCATGTGTTTGTTAAGCTCGCCACGGAGAGCTTATATAAGCGAGCGACACAAGAGTGAGAGATTCCATGCTTCGACAAAATCCAGCAGCAGTGGTCTCTCAAGGCACATCAACACATTGAAAAACAACCACACGCATAGCGTGAGGAGTTCTCAAACAACACATTGTTTATGGAAAGGATTAAACCATGAAAATCACAAAATCCTTGTGGATGACTTTTCACAAGCCACCAATTGTGGACATGGACTCGAGCCGGCGACCTCTCTTGGGGGACAAGAGGGCAAAGGCAGACAATGGTTTGTCGCAGGCCTGCAGCTCCCACTTGTTGGGTTGCCTCCTCCTTGTAGAGCTCTTCGAGAGGGTGACCTTCTACGGGATAGTTTGCAACATGATACTCTTCTGTACAGTAAAGCTGGGATATCCAAACCACGCCGCCGCCACCATCAACCTGTGCTTCGTCGGCCTCAGTGTCACTGCCGCCACCGTGGGGAGCATGGCGAAGAACGTGATCAGCCGGAACCGTATCATTTACATCAGTGCTGTGCTGCATCTTGCAGGTAAAACATCACGCTTCGGACCTCCGCTTTGCACGGTTGGCTACGTACGGCGCGAAAGTAGTTCAGCGTACATACGTACAATACTTGCTTCGGCGATAACATTTTAATTCGCGTGTTTACTTATTGGGTTACTGTCCCCTTCCAACGCCGTCCGTAACAAACAAAAAAGTTGCAGCCAAATGCGAATATTTTTGTTAATTCGTGCACCTGTCAATAATCTCTACCGGAGATACCCGAGAAACTGATTTTACACAAAAGAAGGAACGTTGTTGGAACGCTTACTCACGAGTCCCCATAGTGGGATCCCCATTTAACAATGCGCAGATAACATACCGTGGTCATATGCAGCATGTAGATGACCCTGCTACATGCAGGGGAGGCCCTTCTGCAGTGGTCAGGCACACCGGACTCGCAATCCAGAGGTGGCCAATGCGGTTCGTTCTCCCGGCAGTTGAAACAGCGGTGTAAGCTTCTTCAAAGCTCACCGCCTCTGTGCCCACAGCAGGTCAATCAGTCAGTCGGCGAGTCGCGTGTTATGGCGTAAAGCGTGGATACTCTCACGTCTTCCAAGATGTCTCGCCAGTGTGGTGGAGTAGACCAATCACACCCTCTAGAAGGGCTTTCTAGAGCTCCCCCTATAAAGGAGGCCTTCTATAAAGGGATCTCTTTGTAAGGAGGAGGCTCTTCTGCCTGCAAACAGCGTGAGCAAAGTTTTTGCAGGGGTGGACCTTCTATACAGTCGAATGGTTCTTGTGCATTGGCTTTTCATCCGCAATGCCTCGTGATTCAGAGTTGAATTACCAGGCATTGCAAGCCACCTTGACTGTGGTATTGTGGTTGTGGTCGTGAGCTGCGACCCAAGTTCGGTTTCTGCTCACGGCCACCAACACCAGTGACGATTATCTGAACAGGTCCTTGCTCTCCCTTAGGTCGACTCAGCCGCAAATTAGTACCTGGTGTGGCGTGTAAACATCGCCACTGGGAAGACAAAGGTGGTCAGGCGTGGTGCTGGTCACCCACCCCCTCGTGTGCCGTGACGGCTTTCATAGGTGCTCGCTAACAGCACTTGCTCCAAGTATATTGAGGCTTTCCTGTGGATCTTTGTCATTGTGGTGTGAAGTTTATTTGATGCTGCGTGTTGCCTCCCACTTTGTGATGCTTCTTAGCAGACTCTGAAAAACATGCGCATTATAATTCCTCAAAACACTCGCTTGCACGTTGAGTTTAAATGCAACATATCTGTGTTAAAATCAAATAATACTATAGGTGACAATTAAGTTGTGATGGCAGAAACGATCAACAGACAACTCACCAATATATCACATTTTACGTATTTCTTTGGCTGTGAATGCTTACATTTTTAAGCGTTAGAAGTATACATCAATAAATATTACGGGGTGAAATTTTTATTTCAATAAAAAATTAACAGCGGTGAGAAATGCACATTTAAGACAAATAATGGCTGGCGCAGAGTTGACTTTTAAATATATATTTTTATTGAAGCATTTTAAATATAAGCGACTAAAAAAAACCCGTCCACAAATGTATTTATTTCACAAACGATGACGAAGCCAAGAGTGGATCTCAAAAGGGACCTCAGCGAGGCTTTGCAAACCTGCCCACAACCGTTTAACACATGAATATGGAGTGTTCCAGTTACACCCAGAGATTCACAAATGGTGCGATGTGTTTTGACCACAGCATGATACTGCATTTACATTTTATGTAAAATAAAATGCATTGATAGCCAGTTACCGAGGACGTGTACTTTTACATGTTTAGTGGTTTCAGGGATCTGGCTCCAATTAATTTGAATAAGGCGCTGCCAGTAAAAGGATAGCGAGAGCTAAAATCACGATCGGAGGCATCTCCCGTGAGCCCTGCAGGGTCAATAACGTGAAGTGATCAAGTGGCTGTTTTTTTTTAAAGACTGGGCCTGCCATGGGAATGTAGATTTTCTATCACGAGCTCAGGGTCAATTAAGAACCAGTTTGTGTGAGGTCAGACCAATGAGGAAATTGTCCTCTGACCTTGGATGTGAATTTCACCAAAGTTCTGAGCATTGCTCATTGCCCATCTAAGCAGGGGAGATGCTTTGACATTAACGTTACAGAAAGATACATTCGCCCTTGTGACCATAACTTTTGTGCAATCCCTGCCTGGTGCTTTGTTATAAACTGGCGTTGTTACTTTTGTCACAGGCACGACTCGAGATACGGTACCACCGGGTAATACTGGGCAGCAATTTAACGTCGTAGCAATCAATTGTATTGCATCTCTGTATATACAGAATAAGGATAAAAAGAGGGAAATACCTACAAATCTCGTACGTTATATGTGTTTGTGTCCGTTTAGGTACAACGCTTCTGCCGGTGATGGCGTTTCCCTTCGATGATTTCTTCATGGGCCATGACCACGTGATCCACAAGCTTTGCCGCTGGCAGCAGGAGCTGCTCCTCTTCGTTGCCCTGCTGTTCATCGGCCTGGCAGTCGGGGGATTCAAGGCCACCATGGGCCCCATGGTGGCTTCTCAGCTCGGCCAGTGCCCAGGCATAAAGCTCTTCTCCATTGAATGGTTTGCAGCGCTATCGTCACCCTAGGTGCAGTCAACAGTGAAGATCAGATATGCCTCATAGCCTATTATGAGCCGTTGAGGTGTGCGGGTTCGAAAAAACAACTATCACTCAGGGTAGTCATAGAAATGAGACACGGCAGTAGGCGAAGTTGAGAGAATGCCAAAAAGCTGGTTTGAAAATGAATAACAATTTTCTTGTCGCAAAGTGGAATCCAACGAGTTGTAACCGGCTAAGGCAGCAGGAAGGTATAGTATTACTACGCCTCTATATAAGGAACGAAACAGTTAGACTTCTCAACAAATCTGGCTGTCGCCTAATGAAGCTAGTTGTAATTACTGGCGAAACGTCGTACTCAGTTTGTAAATGTTGTGGCTTGGCTCTCCAACACACCGGTTAGTGCTGTACTAGTGACGAATTGGCACGCTCTGTTTACGTGACAACCCTTACTAGTTGGCTGTGTTGGGTGGTGGCGGGTTTTAACGACACATTTATATACTGTATTTATGCAATCTAACCCAAAAACTTCTTATATACTACTAAAGATATTTAAAAAAATGTAGCCAACAGACGCAGAATGAACTGCTCAATTGAAGCTGTATGGAGTAGTGAATGGCTGCCACAGGAATTGGCAAAGGTCACATTGAATCTCTTATGAAAGCTCGCCGTTCCATTTGTCTAACAACCAAATGATCAGAGCCTTTCAGAAGGCCTGAATCAAAAAGTTATCGAAAGTGGACTCACCCCCCAACCCCAGATGTGGGGGTTAAAAGTTGAACCAACAGGGTTACAACAATTGTCACCCGCCCCCGCCCCCCCGAAAGAAAAAATCACTCCCCCTCCACGCTAAAATAAATGTGTTTTGTAGGCAAATATATCTACACACTCCACATATAATAGAGGCAGTAGTATCTACTGACTCTAATATATGTCTACAGTTGTTATTATCTACTGACTCTACAGTAGTATCTACTGACTTTATATATGTCTACAGTAGTATCTACTGACTTTATAGTAGCGTAGTGACATCAGGGATGTCACTGTAAGGTGCCGGCCTGAGAGGGCCACGGCACGCGATGCACCGTCGTCATCGCGTACACCCCTAAGGCGGGTGTAGTACCAGCCCTAGCGGGGCTTGGCGAGCGCTGGGATACCGCGTGCACCACGCAGTGCGTGCAGTGCGGGCTCCCACCAGGGACAGTGGGAGAGTGTCAACCCAGGGGCAGGGTTGCCCCGGGCCATGGCACTCTGGTTGACCCTGCAGACACGTGATCTGGAGTGTCCACAGAGAGGCCCCCAGGTAGGGGGACTATGGGGTGGTTGCGGCAGCAGTTACATTGGGGAAACGAAACGACATGTGTCGGACCGCGTCCGTGAACACAAGGCGGATCTGAAACACGGTAGGACCAATACCTCTGCCGATCATTGTTTTAACGCTGTGGGCTCACACGAAATTGATTTTTCCAAGACGGAGGTACTCTGTGAACCTACAGGCTACCTTCAGAGATTTGTTCATGAAGCCATCCAGATATATAAACACAGACACAACTTCAACCGCGAGCATGGGTACAAACTGAGCAATCATTGGAAGGACGTTATTAACCAGGTAAAGTCTTAACTGACTGTGATGTTTCCATCCAACCTGCATATGTCAGCTGTTATTTCGACTCTCTGTCTCTCTGTCTATGCCTCTCTCTTAGATTTATCATGCTCACATGTCCGTTGCATTGCACTCTCTTGCCTTTGGATTGCACTCTCATGCTCACATGTCTTTTGGATTGCACCCATTGGGTTGCACGCCCTCGTCTAGGAGGCCGCTCTTTAACCTACTGCATGTACAGTTACTGTACATGCTTATTTCTTACTTTAACATCAAGCTAATTTCTCACATGAACATAGCCACTTCCGTGACCTCGTATAGGAGGCCGCTCTCCTAGCTTACTTTTACATGCTGATTTCTCACATTAACATCACTAGCCCCGGCCACTTCTTTACAACCATTGAGCTACACCAATTTCAAACCTTTTAAAACAGTCTGCCTCAGCAGCAGACCACGCTTTCCCACCTGATGATGGGCGCTTGTGTTGCGCCCGAAACGTCGTAATTTATTTTATACCTATGTGACTTTACCGAAAGAACCAACGAGTATGGATTCCTGCAGTCACGAAAGCTTCAAATCTAGATTTTAAGAGACACTTTTAAAGTCCCCCCTAGGTCGACGGCGTTCGAGCGAATGGCACTCTAAGCTTGGCTCTGCGCCTGAGAATCACGGTCATTGATGTCTGAAATATAGTTCCGAGTTATAAATTGCATTGTTATTACTATTACTGTATTACCTGTTTGGAGAATACTGGGGGAATTTCTACATTACTATAGTATTTTGAGCGACATAAGCCAAGGGCTTAAGAATTGATGTTTGGACGCAAACCTGTCCTTCGTTAAAAGGCGGGCCAGCTCTATGTTTCAAATAATTGTGGGCTCGTATTAGCAGAAAATGTTCCTACACATTTATGAAAAGCTCAACGTACAACTGTTCTGTTTGTGATTCAGCTTCCATTGGCTGGTGGGACTGGGGCAGATGATGGCTTTCCTGATCATTGCATACATACAGACATCGGCAGCAAAATACGTGGGCTTCATCATTCCCTGCATTTCTCTTCTGCTTGTCTTCGTCACCACGTATCTTGCATGGAACTGCCAGGTCAACGGTCCAGGAATGGGTCAGTGTATCCACTACGCACAGATTCAGTAAGAACTTCTAATCATCGTGTTGAGTTTAGTCAATTTAAATCAGATGACCTTAACCGACATATATCATCCATACTGTGGGTTTTTCTAATTCGAGTATTTAACACCTTTTCTCGCATACTCATTCAAAGGCACTGTGCTTCAGTAAACAATACATACTGTTAGCTAGCCTCCAATTAAAAAAAAACAGCAATGATGCAGCCAAAGAGTACAGCCATATTAAAAATATGATCTGCTTCGCACACCTCTTAAAAACAGCCTAATAATAATACACTGCGTGTTCTCCGCCGACCTGTTCTGCAGCATACCAATGCAGGGTGCGCATAACGTCTTCGGACGATAAATAATGACGAGAATGAGACATTCTATATAAAAAAAACAACGTATCGAATGTACTTCTGCTTTATATGTTATTACCCGACATATGCAGCGGCTGTATATGAATGCATACACACATATATAAATAAAAACTCGCCAGAGAATTAAATGTTCGGGATATACTTGGTGGAGTGTGTCACATCGTTATTATGAATGTCGTATGGACCACTGTGTGCAGGCGTTGGCTTTAGAGAGTGCTGCGGCATCGTGCAGAACGCGCTGAAGCAGTCCTGGAAATCGAGTTGCAGGCAAATCGGAGGAGCTGTGGGCTCCTCGCTGGACCGAGCCAAGGAGAGCTGTGGTGGTTGCTACGCGGAGGCTCAGGTGGAATGCGTCAAGCTGCTGGTCGCCTTACTGCCCTTGCTCCTCTTCCAGATCCTCCACCGTGTCTGCATCTATCAGGCAAGGCCAGCGCTGCCAACGAGTGAAGCGAATGAATCGTATGCATCCTTCCTCATGCGTACTTGATTTAGTTGAATTCCTCTTTGCTGCTCAACCATCAGCGCTATAACGTCACCCATTGAGCAGCGACGCGGTTGAAATCCAGCGGCCGTCCTGATAATTAAACTGCAAATGGTCCTAAACTGAGCTGTGTAACAGCTCTTTTTCAGAAGCGACCCCTCTAGCCATCACAAATGATAGCTCAACGAAGTGGCTCATCGTGTGGAAATGTAGAGCGGCCAAATATTGTAAACGCGTGATGTTGATTCTAAATGTGGAGGGAAAAACCGGAGGACCCGGAGAGAGACACCACAAACCGCAAATAGATAGGCGTCAGGGTCAAGATCGAACCCACGCCCTCCTGTATACCAGGTGAGGTAGTTAACATCTCGCCACCGTGGCGAGATGTTGCTGTGTGTGTAATAACCGTAATACTACGCAGTAGTCATTCGCAAGAGTAGCAAATTGTTTGACCGTCGTTACGGTCCAAATTGACAATAAATCTACATTGCAATTATCGCTCCCAACTGCAAAAACCGAGCAGGACTCTCCTACAAAATAGTCTTGAGACTCGGAGAGGCGTTCCTGGGTAAAAAGTGAAACGTCATGGCATTGATTAATCCACCCACGCTAAGTTACACCACACAACTTCAGGTCACAACAACACACTCACCACCCACTCACCACACTGCTGGTCAAACAACACACTCACTACCCACTCACCACACTAGGGGTCACACCAACACACTCACTACCCACTCACCACCCACTCACCACACTACTGGTCACAACAACACCCTCACCACCCACCCACCACACTACTGGTCAGAACAACACACTCACTACCTACTCACCACCCACTCACCACACTACTGGTCAGAACAACACACTCACCACCCACTCACCACCCACTCACCACCCACTCACCACACTACTGGTCACAACAACACACTCACCACCCACTCACCACACTGCTGGTCACAACAACACACTCACTACCCACTCACCACCCACACACTGCTGGTCACAACACACTCACTACCTACTCACCACCCACTCACCACACTACTGGTCACAACACACTCACTACCCACTCACCACCCACCACACTACTGGTCACACCAACACACTCACTACCCACTCACCACACGGCAGGTCACACCAACACTCACTACCCACTCACCACACTACTGGTCACAACAAAACACTCACTACCTACTCACCACCCACTCACCACACTACTGGTCACAACAACACACTCACTACCCACTCACCACCCACCACACTACTGGTCAGAACAACACACCACCCACTCACCACCCACTCACCACCCACTCACCACACTACTGGTCACAACAACACACTCACTACCCACTCACCACCCACTCACCACACTGCTGGTCACAACAACACACTCACTACCCACTCACCACCCACCCACCACACTACTGGTCAGAACAACACACCACCCACTCACCACCCACTCACCACTCACTCACCACACTACTGGTCACAACAACACACTCACCACCCACTCACCACACTGCTGGTCACAACAACACACTCACTACCCACTCACCACCCACTCACCACACTAGGTCACAACAACACACTCACTACCCACTCACCACCCTCTCACCACACTAGGTCACAACAACACACCACTCACTCACCACGCACGCACCACCCACCCACCACACTGCAGTTCACAACAACACACTCACCACCCACTCACCACCCACCCACCACACTGCAAATCACAATAACACACTCACCACCCACTCACCACAACTGCTGGTCACAAAAACACGCTCACGACCTACTTACCACACTGCAGATCACACCGCCCCTTCACCACCCACCACACTGCAGGTCACCATGCTTCTCCCTCTGCTTCTTCCCGTGCACTGCTCAATCCACTTTGAAATTCTCTCCTCCAATCGTTGTCTTCCCCAATCTCTGATAATAAAAATAACTCTACTCTTTGGTTATTTCGGTAAAGTCACGTAGGTATAAAATAAAATAATAACCGTGCTCAATTCAAGAAATGCATTACATCGTATCCATTCAACTCGATATTGCTGTATGTTGCTTGACGTTTTGGGTCTTTGGACCTGTGCTCAGGATAGGTTAAAACATAGCGATGCGTAGAGAGAGACCTCATTATGGAGGGGCCAACTTTCGTTTTGACCACTTGTAGTGGAAATCCACCAAGTGTGGTGGAAATCCACCAAGTGTGGTGGAAATCCACCAAGTGTGGTGGAAATCCACCAAGTGTGGTGGAAATCCACCAAGTGTGGTGGAAATCCACCAAGTGTGGTGGAAATCCACCAAGTGTGGTGGAAATCCAGAAGGGTTGAACCGGTTGATGAATTCAATCGGACAGATTTTCTCACTATCCACAGCATCTGAGCTTTTGTAGACTTTTTCGTAACCATGAAAACGGTTCTAGATTTGAAGCTTTCGTGACTGTAAGGATTCATACTCTTTGTTTTTTTCGGTAAAGTCACGTAGGTAAAATAAAATAAATGAAAACAACTAAATTAAATCACGACGTTTCGGAGGCAACACAAGCTTCCGTCTTCAGGTGGAACAGTCACAGCAAAATAGCTGTATCAAGTGAAGAGCTCTGAGACAATTATCGCTGGTGTTGGCCGTGAGCGGGAAACGAACTTGAGTTGCCAAGTTCGTTGCGCAGCGCGATAATTGCTGCGTTACACTCTACTTAGCACCACACAAAGATTCCACGTAATAGCCTTAACAGATTGTTGGGTCAAGTGCTGTTAGCGAGCACCTACGAAGGCCGGCACGGCACACGAGGGGGTGGGTGGCCAGCACCACCTAGCCGCCTTTGTCTCTCCAGTGGCGATGTTTACACACCGCACCAGGTACTCATTTGAGGCTGAGTCGACCTAGGCGAGGCCCCGGACCGGTTCAGACAATCGTCACTGGTGTCGACCGTGAGCGGGAATCGAACACAGGTCGCCGGGTTCATAGTGGAGCACGCTAACTGCTACGCCACCGCTACCCATCACAACCGCACATCCAGTGAATGTCACACAGCCCCGTCTCATTGTACAAAGTGGCACTCAACGTGACTCCGCTGTTGTCACAAGTAGTGCCCCAAGGGACGTGGTTGTCACAACACAAATGTGTTTGAAGCATAATCCCACAACCCCACTCAGCGGCAGCCAGCAAAAAATTATGAAATATGTGCATGACCATCGATCAAACGAGAGACAGAGTTTAATATTGTACGGTGCCTGCTGGTGTATTAATTGGAAGTGGGTTTTGGAGAGTCTAATCTAGATTTCGATTTAAAGCTTTCGTGACTGCAGGGATTCATCTTCTTGGTTCTTTCAGTAAAGTCACCACGTAGAATGGAAATAAAATAATAAAACATAATAAAATAAAATTCTCACGACGTTTCGGCCACAACACAAGTAGCCTTCCTCAGGTGAAGAAACAGAACTTCCCGACAGTTCTGTTTCTTCACCTGAGGAAGGCTATTTTATTTTTATTTTATTTCCATTATACGTGACTTTACCAAAATAACCAAGAAGAGTCTAATCTAGATTTGAAGTTTTCGTGACTGCAGGGATCCATACTCTTTGGTTCTTTCGGTAAAGTCACGAAGGTATTAAATCACGACGTTTTGGGCGCAACACAAGTAGCCTTCATCAGGTGGTTGTCCAACCTGATGACAGACGCTTGTTACTTTACCGAAAGAACCAAAGGGTTTTGGAGAGTCTGTTTGAAGAATGTTTTTGTTCTCTCTCTAGGTCCCATCTACCTACTATATCCAGGCCATGAATTCCAACCTGAATGTGAGCGGATTCCTGATTCCCATCGCAGCCATGAATTCTGTGAGCATCGTCCCCACAGTCTTGCTCTCTCCTCTGCTCGTGTTTGCAATGAGCACCCTACTCAACATCAGCATGATCTCCACCACCAGCATAGGTTTGTACAGTGATAAATATTCGTAATTATTACTAAGTATTGGAATATTTTTTTTAGTAAATGGGGTATATTCATAACGAAGCTATTATGTTTAAAACTGCAGTACAATGGGCAAAATGTATATCTTTAGATTATTCAACATTCCATTGTTTTCTGTAATTCAGTAGCATTTGTGACTACTGTACATTGCTGTTACCCGCGCAAGTTTAAAAATCATTTCTTGGAAATCGTTGGAACGTGACACTGAAAAGCCCTTAACACTGCGCATAAACCTGTAAACATGCCACAGACGTAGATTGCTATGTACGGTATTTGCATGCACCTTCTGTTCTCCCTCAGCGGTAGGTCAGGCGTGCGCGGCACTCTCCATGCTGTTGGCTGGAGTGATGGAGCTGTACAGACGCAGCTGCAGCCCCACGGAACAGACTCTGTCTGGGAAGGTGTTCCCCATCTCCTCCATGCCGTGCTACCTGCTCCTGCCCCAGTATCTGCTTCTGGGCATGGCTGACGCGCTTGCCGCACCTGCCAGTGAGTGCAACCGCGACTCTTCTCGCAGCCACGGCGTAACACGTGGCCTCGTTAAGTGGCGCTGATTGAACTGCAGTACCGGCAGACCTCGCTTTGCGCTCAAGATGCGTTCCCACAAGTGAGCGCTGATCGAATCAGTTATTATACCATTGTATATATGGGAATAGGTTCCCAACGGCGTAATTTTTTTTCGTATGAGCAACATATGAAGGCTTCATTGAGATAGTGGTGATAGCGCTAATAGTAAACATTATTTCAGAAATAAAAATAACCATTTATTATATCAATAGCTATTATGTACTGTACTCAGGAGTGCATTCTACTGTACTCTTATAAGGCAGTGGAGCGAGACGAGGTTGTAGCAGCTGCTGCTGTGCCTTCCAGTCCGCGACATTATCAGAGAAGAGTTCCAGGAACTCCGTGGTGGTCTTAGTGATGCCCTCCTTGCATATTACTATGTGGTGAGGATTCTTTTAGGTGGAGCCTGATACTCTATCTTGGTCTCTTGAGTCCTCACCTGGCTAACATTGAAAAAATAGATTTATTTAAAGATATAATCGTGACCACGAATGGTGACAATCGAATCGCGAGGGGTGGGGGGTCTGGTTGGCTCAGCGTATATCGCTCTCATCTTGGCTAAACAAATAATGGGGACGGGAACGTTTTTATATGTTTAGATTTTGTTCACGTTTGTTTTCTAAAATGTTCTTCAGGACGAAGAGCGCTATGACGAATCAGCATTCTACGGGGTCGCACTAAGCGAGGTCTGCCTGTATTCACTAAACTTCACAACTGAATGTCATATTGGGAAATATTAGTTTTTTAAAGCAGAAAGCCATACCAAAATGGTTGTCTCGTTGTTAGAACTATCATTCGGTAGTGAAAGTTACCTCATATCCACTTATTAAAAAAATCTATCGTGCATTTTTATTCCCTTATTTTCCCTTACCTCAGGGCAATTATTGAAGGCAGACCAGGATAACGTTATGAGGCGGATGGAAACAGGTTGGGAGTAGATTTTGATTTAAAGCTTTCGTGACTACAGGGATTCATATTCTTGGTTCTTTCGGTAAAGTCACGTAGAAGGGAAACAATAAAATAAAAAAAATTATAAAACAATTAAATTCTCACGACGTTTCGACTGCAACACAAGCAATCATCATCAGGTGTGAAAACCACAGCAAGAAAATTTGAAAAAAGTGGCGTTTTTTTTTAACGTTAGCACCACGGAGAGCGATTTGACAGTTTGTTCATATGGACGAGTCCATCTATGTTCAGAAAAGAGGAGGGGGGAGACGAAAATAATGGATGCGGTCGGAAAGCCACCGTAAGCGTTAACAATCAATTAAGACCCAAATGGTTTATCAAATTCTTCCAATGATTGCTAAGCCAGAATCCATCTTCTCGGTTGAAATTGTCTGTGTTTGTAAGGCTAATAGCTAATGGTTACTCCGACTATACAATCCGCAAAGCTATCACTCCAACCATGAAGAATGACCCTCTTGAGGAGCCTTTCAAAACCATCACTTTACCCTACATTGCGGGGATCACAAAAAAGATCTCCAAAATCTTGAATAAACACAAGATCCACGTCCGATTCAACACATTACATAAAATCCATGATCTGGTTCCGTCTGTAAAAGATGTGATTCCGGACTACAAACTAAGTTGCCTCTGTGGTAGTAGTTACATTGGAGAAACCAAACGACATGTCTCGGACCGCATTCGTGAACACAAAGCAGACCTAAAACACAGTAGGACCAACACCTCGGCCGTGGCAGATCACTGTTATAATTCAGTAGGCACATATGACATTGACTTCTCCAAGACAGAGGTTCTTTGCAAGCCATCTGGCTACCATGAGAGATTCGTTCATGAGGCTATCCACATATACAAACACAGAGACAATTTCAAACGAGAAGATGGATTCTGGCTTAGCAATCATTGGAAGGATTTGATAAACCAGTTCGGGTCTTAATTGATTGTTCACGCTTATGGTGGAATTTAGACCGTATCCATTATTTTCGTCTCCCTCCTCTTTTCCGAACATAGATGGACTCGTCCATATGAACAAACTGTCAAATCGCTCTCCGTGGTGCTAACGTTAAAAATAACCGCCACTTTTTTCAAATTTTCTTGCTGTGGTTTTCACACCTGATGATGATTGCTTGTGTTGCAGTCGAAACGTCGTGAGAATTTTATCGTTTTATTATTTTATTGTTTCCCTTCTACGTGACTTTACCGAAAGAACCAAGAATATAGGTTGGGAGTAGGTTTTGGAAAACTGACCTTAACAATTAAAAGCAACACATAATTGTGCCTAAACAAGGACACCTTTCCAATGAGTGTTAAAATAACCTGCTATGATGTAAGGATCATAAATGTTGGACGTTGACATGGAAATTGGAACAAAGAGCTGAACAGTGCGCAAAGCATGGAGAGGTAGGTGCATGCTTGGATTTATGCCCAGAGGCAGGGAGAGGAAACGTGCGGATCACAAAACATATGCAGGTTATATGAATAGAATCGACCGTGAGGAAATGTAACCGGGGGCATGGACAGGACGCGGTCATCTCAATGGTGGAGACAAACGAGACATTGGAAGACCAACGAAAGCAACCCGGAGGGTGTCCAGTGTGGAGATGGAGTGATGAGGTCAGGTCACGTGCCTGAGCTGGATGTGTTGTTGCATCTCATGACTGTGAGAGATGGCGATGGACTGCGGGAGGGGGTCTTAAACCGGGAGTGGGTAGATCATGGCTAATTATGACGATTACATTCACAAAGTATTAAAGCACATAGCACACATGTTTTACGATTTAAATTCCATGCGGTACAATAATAATCAGGTTTTTTTATATTACATTTTTTCCCACCAATCATTCACTAAAACACATTCTCTTTTAATGGAAAGATGCTCCAATTCGCTAACTCGGGGCTCTCGGAACAAAGCGCGTCCACCCATGAGTCATCGCGCCCCCCTCTGTTCTACGGCTGCCGTCACTCGCCCTGTAGCCACATCCCCACCCCCGCAATCCGCGGGTGATGCATGTACAAGAACCGTGCCCGCCTGGATAACGGAAGTTCCTATGCCTGCATTTAGAACCTGAATAAAGGGTTCTTGGTCCCTCGCGACCAAGGTCTGTGCTCCCATCAAAGTCAACCCCCAGTACACCTTGTTCGAGGGGACTAATAATATTCCGTCAGCGGTCGCCTCCCGCCCCAGCTGCTCATGCAGTCACAGGGGGACTAACATTTGGGCCCCAGGGGGAATTTTAACATTCCTCGTCACGAGGGTTTGACCGGTGGCGTAACCGATGAAAAAAACGAGTCGGGGAGGACAGGAACGCCTTCCGCCGGCCTGATGGTAATTTAATACAGCCCTGATCAATGAGTATTTTCAAGTGCATCTTAACCAAAACATATTGAGGAAAGTAAGTACATGATATATTTATGCAGAAAAAAATATGAAATGAAACAATGAAATAAGTTATGTAATAGGTGCCTCTAGTTTCATAGGCACATCAATATTGACAAGAGGGTCTATTTTCTCGCATTGCCATTGGAGGCGACGTGGCTCGAGGTGGTGGAGAGGGGAGCGGCGGAGGCACACACGGTGGGCGAATCACAACAATCAATGATGCCGCGCAGAGTCACGCTGTGTTACTACGCAGCTGAAAGTAGTCCTTCCGCCACGCCAGAGCCACGCAGCAAAGCACAACTTGGAAGCAAGCGGCCAAGCAACTAGCAAGCGATATTAATAATAATGAACATTTTCTATCCATGACGTGAAACTGATGGACGACTTAAACTCGTAATAAATGCCCCCTATTTTCCAATGATGTTAAACCGATCATTGCTAGTTTTTGGAAGACGCCTCAGACAAGCGTGTAGTCATGCGGACTTCAATAACTCGTATGTCGCTTGCTGTTCAGCACAAGTCAGAATAATGTATTTATACTGAAGGAATCCGATGATGTGTAGATAACTTTTTCACAGATGTCCAGTATAATGCTGGCAGCAGGGACGTGGAGTGGCTCCTCTGTGTAACTTGGGCAGTGATATGTGTCAGAAATCAAAGCCGATGAATCATCACAACTCAATCAGACATCCACCACACTCCAGACCACAACACACTCAGCCATCCATCCACCCACTCACCACATTGCAGGTCACAACAACGCACTCAGTCACCCACCCACCCACTCATCACACTGCAGGTCACAACAACGCACTCAGTCACCCACCCGCGCACCACACTGCAGGTCACCACGCTTCTCTTTCCGCCTCTTTCCGAGCACTGCTCCACTTTTGAATTTCGTGCCATCGTCTTTCCCCCCAAACTCGTGTAATAAGTGTGACCATTTCAGCAAACGTGTTGACTTGCTATCTATTACAACACTGTCGGCCGGACAACATTTTGGGCCTGTGCTCGTAAACTGTGTAAAAAAGAACGCTCTATACAATAAAACATCTGCTCATATTACCTATATTTAGAACTGAGTCAGAGCTCACTAGTCAACTGAGCTCCGACCAGGCACGTCCATGCCCGGCAGGTGGAGTTTTTGTATCTCTTTTAATTGGGACAAAAAATTATATTGTTTAAACGTGTCCCGCACCACAACGTGTTTGCTCTCCCTCGTATAAAGAGAGAACAACGGGAAGGAGCGAGGAAGCACAGCCATGCAGAAAGGCAGCCACGCGGTGAGCTGGCGCCAGAGATTGCCCAGAATCTGCGGTCCTCTATGTATTAAGGTGATATCGGTAAATGAATGAGTGTATGTTTACATGTGGGAAGAAACGGGAGGAGTTGCACAAAACCCACATGGGCAAAATGGAAACACGATATCCCATAGAGGCAGAACAGGTGGAGTCTAACAATTGCTGCACCGCCTTCTCCTGGCGAGACATGCTAAAGAGCAGTGGTTCTTCACCTGGGGTGCACTCACCCCCTGGGGGTGGGAGATGGATGCCCTTGTGGGGGCCGGCGTCCACCCCACCGCCCTCGCCGGGCAGGGGGGGGCGTGACGTGCGCCCGTTCCGCTCCCTCCTCCATTCCCTCCTCCACCACGTCGATCGGCCCCCGTCGGGCCTCCGCCGAGCGGGTGATCGGCTCCCCCGCGTTAGCGCCCCCTCTGAGGGACATAGCTAAATCGCTGGCTCACTGCCGGACGGGGTTATTCCACACACGCACACACACACCAACGCTATTGCTACAGCGGCGGCAAGCACACGCGCGCCCCTGCCGGCGATCAGATTCTAATTTGCGCCTGTACTAAGACTGACGCTAAAAGGCTGCGCAAATACGCGCGTGAGCCTGCGGGCGATTATATCCTAATCCGTGTCCACACAAAGACTAGCGCTACAGCGGCTGCGCGAACACACGCACGTGCCGGCAGACAGTCGCTCCACGCACACTGGAATCACAAACACTGCGCCGGGGGGAATATTCTGCGAGCATAGCCTATCCTACCACTACCAAATTCTCCAGATACTCACACGCCCAATTACGTACCTCACGGCCACACTCGCAGCATCGCACTGACGCTGTGAGAGTCGGAGGGACGAAGTTGAGAGCGGACTTTACCTATCGCTGTCTCGTAGCTGCACTTGCTAGCGTCACATGAATGCTGCGAGCGGCTCGAGGAGGCAGGACAGCAGGGAGTCGGTCTGGGCGGCCAAGCAGTCAGAGATGAGAGACCTGACCTGAACCGTTTCTGGCTCCCTTTTTTATCCCATATTAAAAAAAAATCATCCGGGGTTACGTTATCCTGCGCAACCAATCGTGCGCCTACCTGTGATTTTCAAACATTTTTCTGCCCTTACATGGAGCGTTACGATACGTTCTTTTTCGGCCCATTGTCTCTGCGCCCATACTTATTAATCCTTGACTCAGCCGGTTTAATCTGTTGTGCCAGGCGATCCCCCACCGGGACACTACGTGTGTGTGTGTGCTGCGTGTGTGCGTGTGCTCAGGGGGAGGGGGGGGTTAGGGGGGGAATCGTGACGCTTGCTGAGTTGCTCCGCGGTTGTGGCATCGTTCCTGGGGGTGGGAGACATGGGCAGATTTTTTTCGAAGGTAAATAACTGAAAAAACAACTACTTTGTTTCAGCAAACCTATGTATTTATTAACATTCAAAAAATTACGTGTTCTGCCTCACGGCAAGTGTCTTGCCTCACGGCAGATGTGGGGCGTGTGTACACAGGAATTTCCTGTTTATGAAATAGGGGGTGGTCACGTGACCAGGAAGTTGCGATTTTAGATTTCCGCTGAACCACGCGGGCGTCGGCCATTAAAAACAATTCAAGATGGCGGCACACATCGCAGCTCCGTGAAGACAGCTGCAGCCACCGTTGTGGGACTTTGGGAAGCATTGTCTTTTTACCTCTCTCTACCGTTCAATTTCAATAAATGACGTTCAGAGTCAGATGTTCACCCTGGCTCTGAGGGTTTATTGGAAACGCGAGGTTATCTACTCAGCTAGCTCTGCAACGCAACGCAGAGCGAGGCCGAGATATTACGATTGAGAACCAAAGCGGTGTGGGCTGCAGTAAAGGTTAAGAACCAGTGCTATAGACACTCCTCAACGCCCACGGGAAGGGCGTTTCACAAAATGTTATGCGATGCATCAACCCTCGCTGCCTTCACGCAGATGAATTACAGACGTGAGTCACTACCACTAGGGATGAATTCTACTTTTTCACTGACAGTTTTGTTATATTGCCGATGAAGAGCTGCTGCCTGCACTTTACCTATGTCTCATTCTATACAGTGTTTGCATAGGCTTTCACGACCATTATTATGATTCATAATTAGTTTATTTTGGATCCGAGCGTATATGTACAGTGAGGGAAAAAAGTATTTGATCACCTGCTGATTTTGTACGTTTTCCCACTGACAAAGAAATGATCAGTCTATAATTTTAATGGTAGGTTTATTTGAACAGTGAGAGACAGAAAAATAACAAAAAAATCCGGAAAAATGCATGTCAAAAATGTTATAAATTGATTTGCATTTTTATGAGGGAAATAAGTATTTGACCCCGTCTTAATCAGAAAGATTTCTGGCTCCCAGGTGTATTTTATACAGGTAACGAGCTGAGATTAGGAGCACACTCTTAAAGGGAGTGCTCCTAATCTCAGCTTGTTACCTGTATAAAAGACACCTGTCCAAAGAAGCAATCAATCAGCTCCAAACTCTCCACCATGGCCAAGACCAAAGAGCTCTCCAAGGATGTCAGGGACAAGATTATAGACCTACACAAGGCTGGAATGGGCTACAAGACCATTGCCAAGCAGCTTGGTGAGAAGGTGACAACAGTTGGTGCGATTATTCGCAAATGGAAGAAACACAAAAGAACTGTACATCTCTCTCGGCCTGGGGCTCCATGCAAGATCTCACCGCGTGGAGTTGCAATGATCATGAGAACGGTGAGGAATCAGCCCATAACTACACGGGAGGATCTTGTCAATGATCTCAAGGCAGCTGGGACCATAGTCATCAAGAAAACAATTGGTAACACACTAAGCCGTGAAGGACTGAAATCCTGCAGCGCCCGCGAGGTCCCCCTGCTCAAGAAAGCACATATACATGCCCGTCTGAAGTTTGCCAATGAACATCTGAATGATTCAGAGGACAACTGGGTGAAAGTGTTGCGGTCAGATGAGACCAAAATGGAGCTCTTTGGCATCAACTCAACTCGCCACGTTTGGAGGAGGAGGAATGCTGCCTATGACTCCAAGAACACCATCCCCACCGTCAAACATGGAGGTGGAAACATTATGCGTTGGGGGTGTTTTTCTGCTAAGGGGACAGGACAACTTCACCGCATCAAAGGGACGATGGACGGGGCCATGTACCGTCAAATCTTGGGTGAGAACCTCCTTCCCTCAGCCAGGGCATTGAAAATGGGTCGTGGATGGGTATTCCAGCATGACAATGACCCAAAACACAGCCAAGGCAACAAAGGAGTGGCTCAAGAAGAAGCACATTAAGGTCCTGGAGTGGCCTAGCCAGTCAGAAAAACAAAAAAAATCCAGAAAAACGCATGTCAAAAATGTTATAAATTAATTTGCATTTTTATGAGGGAAATATGTATTTGACCCCCTCTCAATCAGAAAGATTTCTGGCTCCCAGGTGTCAAACATCAGCCTCGAAACCTTAATGACTTGGAGAAGATCTGCAAAGAGGAGTGGGACAAAATCCCTCCTGAGATGTGTGCAAACCTGGTGGCCAACTACAAGAAACGTCTGACCTCTGTGATTGCCAACAAGGGTGTTGCCACCAAGTACTAAGTCATGTTTTGCAGAGGGGTTAAATACTTATTTCCCTCATTAAAATGCAAATAAATTTTTAACATTTTTGACATGCGTTTTTCTGGATTTTTTTGTTATTATATCTCTCAATGTTCAAATAAACCTACCATTAAAATTATAGACTGATCATTTCTTTGTCAGTGGGCAAACGTACAAAATCAGCAGGGGATCAAATCATGTTTTCCCTCACTGTAAGTGGTGTCTCCATGGTCTGAAGCAGATTTGTGTTATTAGTGGATGGAATCTTAATACATTATGTGAATGTGTACATTTACAGCCATTGTGTCAACCCACTTCTGGGTGAGGGCTTCCCCACTCCTGTGCAGGTCGTGGGGTTGGGGTTATTTGACCATACTTCACCATACTGGTCAATGTACATTGGTGAATGTGGGGAACATTAAAGTGAAACAATGGATGTTTCTGCCCTGCCCTGGACTGTCTACCACATAACCCTCTATGAAACTCTGGTGGCCAAAGCTACGAGTTGGGGCCCCCTTGACCACCACCATGAACTATGTTTTCAACAACAGTGTAAAATAACAAAAACGTATGTAATGATGTGATTAGGCAAGAGGAGCCACGATATATAATAGCCTAGCTGTGACCGTGGGAGACCAATTACCGTCTACCCCCCTGAGCTTAAAATGTCGACACTACACCACCGCTGTGCTGCCATGCTGATCAGGCTAATTAGCTCTGACAACTATTCATTTCATGTCCCTTGGACGTGTGCAGTGCGACTCCCTGAGGCGCCACTCGGTTGGCACCCAGGAACGTCCTCCCTTGCCTGCGTCCTCTCTTGGGGCTAACCCTCGAGCCCCTGGTCATCTCGTTGACCTGCTGAATATATTAATGTGGGTCATTGCAAGTGGTCCAGGTTCACCTCCTGAGTGAAAAATGAGACCATTTCTTGGGTGGATTTGAATCGATTGCAATTCAGTTCACTGCAGTGGATTCCTTCTGCCAGCAGTGGTGTGATCAAGCAATTGCAGGCTTCACCTTTTACCTTCGTCGTGTTTTCACGATATTGAACCGTAACAGGAGTACAAGCAAAATACAGACCCACGAGACGTGGCGATGAAATGGGAACTTTAAACGTAGACTTCTCTACTTACGAACAGTCAACTGACGAACTTTAATAGATACGAACCTGTCCGTATGTCCAGTTGTCTGTTCAGACTGAGATGGCGGTGTTGGCATCTACATCTGCAGAACATGAAGAACCAGTGGCATCTACATCTACAGGAGATTATACAACTTTTAAAGCCATTCCCCATATTTAGTGTACAAGCCATACATACTCTTTGGTTCTTTCGGTAAAGTCACGTCAGTATAAAATAACATCAATCACGACGTTTCGATCGCAACACAAGCGGTCGTCCTCAGGCGGAAAAAATATAATCCAGGTAGTGGAACTGCTGAACTAGCGAGAGAGCAGCTACAACAAGAGGTTATACATGTGGCGATGGGCAAGCAAGCGGGGTCTGAGCTGGAAAGGAATTCCACCCCCGGAAGCAAGCACGTCAGTTGCGTAATCTTGATTTGAAGCTGCAGAAATATATACACTTTGGTTCTTTCGGTAAAGTCACGTAGGTATAAAATAAAATAAATCACGTTTCGATCGCAACTCAGGAGGAAAAAATATAATCCAGCGGTGGAACTGGTGAACTGGCGAGAGAGCATACATGTTTGGAATCGACAGGAGTAAAATTGGACTTACGAACAAATCGACTTACGAACAGACCTCTGGAACCCAATTCGTTCGTAAGTAGAGGGGTCCCTGTATATATCGCATCAACCTGCAGTGTAAGAACCAAATGCCCAGGCATTTGTAAACACACCGGGCCCAAATTGCCATGCGATCTCATTGGCCCATTTGGGGCTGGGTCTAAAAAACAAATGGGCCGGTGAGGAAGAATCTTTGGGGCTGTCAAATATGGTGGGGATTTAATGCCAACTGAGAGCGTAAGTAAGCAATTAAGCGTACACAGAGGTTAAGAAATATTTGAAGAAAAATAAATGGAATATATTTTAATTACTCTGATCACAAATTTTGATTTAAAGCTTTCGTGACGGCAGTAATTCATATTCTTAGTTCTTTCGGTAAAGTCACGTTGTTGTTTCCCTTCAACGTGACTTTACCGAAAGAACTAAGAATACTCTGATCACATTTGCAATTTCCCCACACAGACCGGCCCACCGACCCTTGGAATGGACCGGCCCACCGGGCCATTTGCCCGGACAGCTGCCCTATGGCCAGTCCGGGCCTGGATATAGGCCTTATAGGCAAATCGGTGCTGTGATGTTATCCCATTGACAGCTGTGTATTTGTGCTGCAGCTTACCGGGTGCTGTGTCGACTGGCCCCGCACGGTGGCCAGGCCTTGGCCAAGAACGTCTTGGGTTTGTGCAACGGGGCAGCTGGCATCCTGGGCACAATCCTCGTGCAAGCTGTGCACCACCTGTCGTCCGGTACGCATCGCATCCATTGTGAGAATACGTCCCGTAAATGCGAAGCAGGTAATTGCACAATTTTTGAGCTTTTGCTGCTCGCTACATATAGGTTAAAGTGGTGATGGTGGTATATAGGTTATTTTTCTAATATAAATGCTTTAACATGTGTCATTTTCTCTTTACAATTGTGCGATGTTTCCAAAAGGATCACTCTACCCTGACGATCTCCAACACGGGTACCTGGAAGGGTATTTCTTTCTCCTGGCCTTCTTCATGTGCATCAACATCTATGCCCTGTGCATATACACACAGAGGTATGGTGTATGTTTAATACCTCCATATATATGTATAGGAATATTTAAATGTATATTCAAATATGTAATAAAATATTCCATGGCGTAGTTTAGAAACATGGTCACTCACGAAGATGTTGAACAAAAACTGAAAGGTAAGTAAAAAAGAAACTCTTGGAATTACATTGAGGGGTAAAGACATGGATGAGAGAATGAACACAGGCGACAAGTCGTGGCCTCTTCATCCTCTATACAGTAGGGGGCGCTCTTCACAACAAGCTCTGCCCTGATATTTTCACATGACGGTGACACCGACATGGGTTTTTTTTTATTCTCAGAGCTTGGAGATTTCCCAGGTCAAGTGGAAAACCAACCATAATATCTTTGTGCAGCCATTGGTCACCATGACGAGACTCTCAACTCGCTATAATTGGGAACTGGTTTAAAACACGGGCAGCTATTTGGATTTGAACCCAGGAACTCAGTGGTGCAGGCTCAGCACTCTGACCTCGTTTTATTTTCAATATAACTAAACACAACATTCAAACAACAAAATACACAATGAAAAAAAACACCCCAAAATAACTTCAAGAGCAAAAACTACGAAAATGTAAACATTTAAAAATAATTCCATCAATGAAAAATAATAATGAAAACAAAACAATAAAAAAATCAAGACATGGCAGTTGACATTTATTGAATAACCAATGTTATTGGAAAATAAACAAGAGTTGAAAAAACCGTACAGAGATGTTCTATCCTTGCATATGGCGATGTGTTCAGGAGCTAAACGCCAATGTTGATCGCCACGAGAGGGCTTCAGGAGAGAGCTCGTGCAGTTTCTCTATTCGTCCGTTTTGCTATTCGGAGAAATATTGAAATCAGAGAAAATGTAAATAAATAGACTGGGAAAATACAGAGGACCGTATTTAACAACGATTAACAAATGCAGGGGTGGAGCAGGAGCGCAGTGGATAGCACATACGGCTATTAACCCAACAACCTGAGTTGGATTCCCGGCCAGTGTTACCTCAACAAAACATTGCCCAGTTTGGTAAAGTATAGACAGGTAATCCCTATAACTATAAGGGATGGGGAGGCCTTCATCCAGCAGTGGATTGACATGTCAACAAAGGTAAACTCAAATAAAATTCAGTCTAGTGTACTCAACAAATGTGAAAGTTGCAATGGGCATGCCACCAAATTAACGTATTGCCAATACATCGGTGCATGGTATAAAATATATATTTCACGATAATAATTTTGTTTAATCTTGCGGGGTGGTGCGAAATCAGTTCTCGTGCTGTCCAAGCAGTCGGAAGACGAATGTCATGACCAGTTTAACACGAATCTTCACAGTCTGTTGCCGTATAGCAGCACCCAGCCTGCCAACCATTGGCTGGCTCCGTGTTCCAAAGGCAGACTTAACTCCTCGTGCCCTAGACTTGGTTGGCCGATTCCTCAATTCATTTCCGGAATCATTTCTTGGTGGATGGTGGCATCGAAAGATTATGACTCGTGGTGTATCACGTATGAATGGGAAGGCAGCTGCTGAACCTAAGGCAAGTTCTGATGGAGAGTCTGCAGGTCATTCAAGGAGTAACAGCGACATCGTCAGACTGCTTTATGAGGACCAGTGTGTTGTTATGCTGTACCGGAGTACCACCAATACATCAAATTGCCAACTGCTGTACCGTGCCATAGTGAATACCTAGATGAGCATTAGAAGGCAGCCAACTGACTTGAATGCCTTCCCAGCAAATGCAAAAAAGCTATTATTATAGACTTCACCGAAAGACCCAAAGAGTATGTTATTATATATTTCACTTGTAAAACGGGCTTTCAGCTGACTTTCTTGAAATAGCCTGGGGAACTTTACCAAATTTTATTAATTTGTTGAAAGTGCTCTGTATTATCCTGTTACATTTTAAATGTCTGCGGTATATTTGGGACATTTTCTGGGCGCGGGAAATTGTGTAAGACAGAGCTAATCTATTCAGGCAGTCATTATTTTTTTGACGTTTGTTTTGAAAGACAAACCAGTCTCGATCCGAACATGAAGATGAAATGTTTTTTTTTAAATACAAAAACAGGAATTAAAACAGCAATGTTTGCAGTGCACATTCTGGATGTTATATTATTTCGAGGTCACATGCAGGGGCGTATACGCTGGTGGTACTGTGGTAGATATACAGTATTGTAACAGGAGAAACTCTTATCAGCTGCTACATGGACCTGTTCTTTTGTTGCCTTCCAAAACGTGTGCGTTATGTTTTTGACATGCCTTTGTCCCGGAAGCTCTCTCTAGACCGACACGTTCAGTTGGTAATTCACAAACAACTTAAGGTAGTCAGAATCATAATATTTATTGATTTATACTGGAGGAATCCAATCAGCTATACAGCTCTTTTTTCACAGATGTCGAGCAGGAGCGGGTCAGAACGTTACAAAATCAAATAATACAAAACACGATAGGAGTGTAAAGTATAGAAAGGTAAGCAACTCACTTAAAAAATAAAACTAAACTCCATTATTTTCATCTTTCCAGGTAATACCCACTGAGCTATTAACTAAATTTTTCAGAAGCGACCCAGCCACAAATGATAACTCAGCAGAGTGGCTTATCACGTGGAAATGTATAGCAGAAAAATAACATAAATAGAGCTGAGATTGGAATCTGATTCTGAGATCAGAATCAGAATCAATTGGGGAGCACGAAACACTCCACTGTGCCTCACTCTTACACGTGACACACTATCAGTCTCGCAGTTTTGCAGCGGTTTAAACCTTATTGTATATATTTTTACATATTTGATAAGTTTGAATGACAGCATGGGTGGTGTAAAAAATCTCATAGTGAGTGTGAGTGCCACTCCTTGGGGTGCCGAGCTGAGATACATGGCACAGGATGAGGTTGGTGGGGGGCTGATGGTTTGTGGATGGGAGAGAGAGAGCCACACGATGAGCCACTTCGTGGACCTATCATTTGTGGTGAGGTCGCTTCTGAAAAAGCTCATGGCTCGTGTAGGCCTTACCTGGTTAGAAAAAAGAGTGTAGTTTTATTTCTATATATATTTCAAAGTGATTTGCTTACCTTTCCTTTACTTTGCACTCCTGTCGTGTATTTTTTGTACTGTTTATTGTTGTAACTTTATGACCCGCCCCTACTGAACATCTGTGCAAAAGAGCTTTATAGCTCATTAGATTCCTTCAGTGTAAATACATATTTTGATTCTTAAGTAGAGCTTTTGGTTCAGCTGTCGGGATTTGTGACAGTGGTGACTTTTTGATCAATGTGACCGAAGCCTTTTTTTCTAAATAACTATTTGCCGAGGCTTCAAGAGGGCCAGTAGATAAAAAAAAAATGGGTTTACCCTTCCTGGCAATAAAACAGGTGCTAAGATGTTCAAACAACAAGTAAAAATATTTGACATGGAATCAAGTTCGCATTAACCACACGTACTTGTGGTGAACATGCAAACAAGCATGCTCTGATAATATATGCATTGTCTTGAAACTGATTGGGTCCATCCATTTAGTACGTACGCAAAAAAATCTGTCAAAACTTGACCCCTCCCCCCCTCCCAGGACGCACGCGTAATATTTACACCCCCCCCCCCCCACCTGCGTACGTACGCTTGACGCACACCCCCACCCCCCCTAATCCTATTGAACGGCCGATATTTAATTCACGCAGAAATGATCAAGGATTATTAACGTGTTTTAGCAAAAAGATAGTCCACCGCCGGCTGCATTACATTGTCAGTAGACCCCTACATACGCAAGCGTCCCCACATACGCAAGCGTACGCATTTCGATTAACCCCCCCTCCCCCCTCCATGCGTACATACTAAATGGATGGCCCATTGGCCTACACCAGATACAGCCTTCTTTAGGGCCTGGTCTCAGCAGTTTCAGACCAGAGAACAATGCCAAAGTCGAACAAAATGTCCCATTCTGTAGGGCCAGTAGATGTTGCAGTCGGTTTGTCTTCTGTGTGTCAGGTATTCATTGTTGCCAGTGAGGGAGGAAGGACCGCCGGTGGCAGGGCAGAGTTCCCTGGCACAGAAGCTTCTGGAGCACGAGAAATCATTCGCCTTTTACGACAGCACCTTGGAAGGATCGGCATTCGCCTTCTCACCGGACGACGACTTGCATGGGTTTATCTATGCCTGAGTCAAGGATGGCACGTTTTACTCTGATGATGTACACCTGTGAATGTTTACAGTCTATGAATGTATTTAAATGATGCTTGCACGGTCGATATTTAAATGAAACGTTGTGCCTTTGAACTGTGGTTCCTATTGCACAGTAATTTAAAGGCTGTTTTCATATCGCAGACACCTGGGAGCCAGAAATCTTTTTGATTGAGAGGGGGTCAAATACTTATTTCCCTCATTAAAATGCCAATCAATATATAACATTTTTGGCATGCCTTTTTCCGGATTTTGTTGTTGTTATTCTCTCACTGTTCAAATAAACCTACCATTAAAATTATAGACTGATCATTTATTTGTCAGTGGACAAACGTACAAAATCAGCAGGGGATTAAATACTTTTTTCCCTCACTGTATCACCTGCGCCATTATCTCGTGATATTGTTTTGTTAACAATCGGGACATATTCAAATGGCTTTTTACCATGTAGGATTTCAAAAAGCCCACACTCCACTATGCTTGTGTAGTGGATTCAACTGAGTCACAGACATACTTCTTGGAGTCAACACATTTATTAATACCAACAGATAACACAAAGGAGTTACTGCCCCTTTATCAGATAACCTATGGTGGTGGACCACCAGGCTAACTATGCTAGTTACTGGGAGTAGCTACAACGGACAAGACCCTAGCTGGGGTCCTCGTCCACGTGTTGGTGACTTCTTCTTGGACGTAGAACGTAGATCTTCAGATGACGGCAGCAACGCTGAACCCCGGTCACTGTGCGGACCCCGGTTTAAATGCTGCTGGATTGTGGCTGGCCCCTCCCTTGGCCACGACCACCTTCGAGAAATCTCTTGCTGTTTCTGGACCCTTCCCGTAGGATATCACCCTGACACGTAACCACCCCATAGCCCCCACCTGGGGCCCTTGTTTAGATCGTGTCACGTGCCTTCCAGGGTCAACCAGAGTGCCATGGCCTAGGGTAACCTTATCCTATGGCTGACACTCCCTCTTGTAGTAGTCAGCACTACACGCCAAGCGTGGTGCTACTGCGCTATCCCAGCGCTCACCAAGCCCCCTCTAGGGCTGGTACTACACCCACCTACGGGGTGTCCACGATGACATTGCATCGCACGCTGTGCCTCGCTAGAGCCGGCACCATATAGTGACATATAGTGACATCCGTGATACACTTGCATTAAAGTCGTTTCACGTCGAAGGTACATCAAGATCGAGACGTCACTGTGGCAAAAAAGGCACCGCACCCCGCTAACGCATTCTACCCTCCACCAGTTCCCCTGCAATTGCTGCGCATCAGACACGCGACCTCCAAGATCTGCCATTGAAATTATCTCCCATCATCGGGTCTCACGGCCTCCTCCCTGGTCCCTAGAATCGCAGACACCACCACTCTAATGTCTGCGTCGGCATTCAGTCCCCACCCACCCTCATGGGCACGTCCCACCCAGCTAAAGAGTTTTTTTGCAAGTGTAATTGGAGTGCAAATTTAGTCAAATGTTTTCATTTTTACTTTGTTTCACATTTTTTGTTCACCAGGTAAGGCTCACTGAGCTATATAGCTCTGTTTCAGAAGCGACCTGGCCACAAATGACAGCTCATCAAAGTGGCTCATCGCGTGGCAATTTACAGCAGCCAAATACTTGCATGTTTCTAAATGGGGAGGGAAAAAAACCCGAGGAGAAAATTCCACGAGATAACGAGAACACACACAAACTCCAAATATACAGGGGTCAGGGTCAAACCCACGACCTCCTGTATACCAGGCGAGGTATTTGCTAATTATTGTATTGATCCTTGCCTAGTACCTTCCACTTTTTAAGATTATATCAAATGAGTATTTAGCCTAATATGTTTTTACATGTTATCACCAATGAATACACTTCAACAGAACAATGTAGCACCATATGCCAGTGTTTGCACAATCCTCATGACGTTCTGATGCCCAGCACACAAGGGTTGCTTTAGCTCGCATTTCAACTCCGTTCAAATAATAAGCAGCCTCTGTGTGTTTGTACAATTGTTTGTGTTGAATTGTTTTTCGCGCACCCAGAGTTGAGTCACAAGGAGGCCCATTCGTCACGTGTGACAAAAGGTAATCGCACCTGCTGTAATGCGAGTCCTCTCCCCCTGTGTCACATCCAAGGATATGAGAAGACCAGCATCGACTACAAGCCGGTCTAGCAAGAACGGGGGGAGGGGGGGATAGGGCAGTTTCTAGATCTGCATCTGGCGTCAACAAGTCTCTATGAATTGTGCTGTATGTTGCCCATGAACTACTTTTGTTGTATGAGCGTACTCTTTGGTTCTTTCGGTAAAGTCACGTAGGTAGAAAAAATAATAGATCACGACGTTTCGATCGCCAATCAAGCAATCGTCCTAAGGTGGCATATCCCACTTGAGGTCGATTCCTGCAGTCACGAAAGCTTCAAATCAAGATGGTATGTGCGTATTCGCTATCCGTTGAGACAGTCTACCTATCGACTAAACTTTATCATTTACCAGGTAAAGCCCACTGAGCTATTAGCTGTTTTCAGAGGCGACTTTGTCACACATGCTAGCTCATCGAAGTGGATTATATCATTATATTTCGGAATTTATAGGAGCGGCCAAATAATCTGACACGCATCTAAATTTGGAGGGCAAAACCAGAGGAACCTGGAGAATAATTGGCGAAACCACCACGGGGGAGATCATAGATCTCCAAATGTACAGGCACCAGTGCCGGAATCCAACAAACGACATCCTGCATACCAGGCAAGGGAGATCACATTTGTACACATTCGTCAGTAACACTGGCAATAAAAAAAATACTGGAAATATAATAAGCGATGTTTTGTGCCAAGGTTCATCACGCGAACGCCAACATCATCGCAGCAGCTTGTGGCTCACCAACGAACAAAGATAGTCACTGCATCACGCGCTTTCAGATGCGCTTCTGCGGCCGTCTGGAACGCTCTTCCGATGTTAGGAAACCACTGGAGCTCTGGACTTTTAAATCTAGATTGAAAACTGACTTATTTAGAGCTGCTTTTGGTGTTTAGTTTGTTTTCCTCCCGGACCTCCGATTAACACGGTTGAAAGAAGTTCAACTTACAGTACAATCATACCACATAAACAGAGACCAGAGAGACAGAGTGCGTAATAAGATTTAGAGACTGCGCTTTACACCATGGGGCCTAATGAAAATTATTTTTTTTATGATGACCAGTTTTTAAATATGCATACGAATACTTATTAAACAGGAGCAATTGAGTACCAAGCAAATCTTTTAATGATAAAAAGTATTACTAAATCAATGCAAGTATATATTAAATGTTTCCATATAGGTAACGAAAGGGTTAGAAAATGCAATATTAAGTTGATAAAATGGTATTTAAGAGACTTGTGTTACCAGAGTTGGCTTTGGACAGATTACTTGAGATTGTATTAGGGTTAATAACAATACCGAACAATTTATAAATATGTACATACACATTGACATTTGATAACTTCAAATGTTGTTTTTTAATAATAATGCAATTTATAATGCGCACAAATTTGGGGACATAACGGCCGCAACTCAAGATGCGCGGAGCCAAGCTCAAGAGTCGCTCGAAAGCGTGGTTATAGAGGTGAGTTTTAAAGTGTCTTTTGAAGGATACGATTGAGGTGATGCTGCGAATGTGCAGAGGGATGGCGTTCCAGACTGTTGGGGCTGCCACCGAGAAGCGGCGCAGAGACAATGACCATCCTGGATCTTGGTATCAAGAGGAGGTCGTGAGTCGCGCCGCGCAGGCATCTGCCGTGTGCTGAGCTGCAAGTCGTCAATAATTTCAATTTCAGTCGCAATTATCTTCATGAACTACTGCCAGTACCTATTATATTAAGGAACTATTCTCAGAACTATAATCTATCCGTATCCATTACGATGTTTAGGGTCTATAGGAGCTATGATAGTGTTGAGACATTGACACCACGGACTGTTTGCCAGTTTGTACACAGTATTATTATATCGACGTTCTTCCTCTCTCTGGCATGGGTGTGGCCACCTATTTGCACAGAACACAAACGGCTGACGTGGGAGCCGTCTTGTGTCGAGCATCGGGAGACTATTTCAGCCGATAGCGGCCGGAGAAGGGAAACCAATGGATGATGGAATAAAAATACCAAGCGCCAAGGTTGTTTACGGTAAGATCCATACTTATTTTTTGTTAGCAACACCCTTGAAATGTCTTAATTGTTTACATACAACGCTCTTTGGAAAGCAAAATGTTGATATTGTTCATTGTGTGACATTGACAAAATATAATGACAAGTTGTATGCGTAAAAATACAATTGCTGGATGTAAACCAATGATTTTATAAAGCTATTTGAATGTATAGTATAATACAAACATAGCAATTCATTATCTTGAAATGCATTCGAGAAACCGGCGAACAAAAACTTTCCAATGTTTATCCGCATATTTGAACGTGGAAATACACAGCGGTACAAACCGTATCGTGGATGTTTAGCAGTGGGGCAGTGACACGCCACTATCAATCTGGCAACCTGAGTTTGATTCGTGGCCACAGCTAACGTCAGTGGCGAGTGGTATGGGGCCTTGTGTCCCGTGCTCTCTCGCACTCACCGACCCACACTGACGACCAGCTTGGTAAAGTCAAACAATGCCATGGCTGACATGCCTTGGGGAGGGTCTTCATCCCGCAGTGGATTGACAAAGACACGTGCATTTCATTATACACCAAAATTTACACAAAACGCCGGACACGTAACACTAGGCTGGAAATCACTCAAAGATAACGTACCCGTAAACTTATTTGTTGACACGGTATGCTAATTACAACACGAGAGCTCCAAGAATGCGAACGGGGAAAGAGTGGAGACACATCACAGGATCAGGGTAACCGGAGATGATGAATGGACAGTGGGACACGTCTTATGGGGCAATTACGCACTCGTGAATGCTGCATTGACTTGTTGTTGTGTCTTAAGACTCACAATTTCACGCATGCAGTGAATGAGTGAGGATGTGAGTCCACCACACACCAAGACGTCAATGCAATAACAAATATACGAAACTAAACTTTTTAGTTTTAACAGGTTAGGCCCACGAGCTTTTTTTTTGTCAGAAGCAACCTGGCCACAAATGATAGCTCAACGACGTGGCTTATCACGTGGAAGTTTATAGCAGCCAAACAACTCGGAAGGCGTGTTTCTAGACGTGGAGGGAGAAACTTGGGGAACCGGAGAAAAATCCACGCGATCATGGGGAGAATGAACACGCAAACTCCAAATATACAGCAGCAGGTGTCAGGGTCGGGATGGAACCCCACGACCTTCTGTATACCAGGCGAGGTAGTTAATATCTCCTAGCCACCATGATGATGATGAGAGAGACAAGCAAACTCCACAAATATAGCAGCAAGCGTCAGGGTCGGGGTGGAACCCACGTCCCCCTGTATACCAGGCGAGGTAGTTAACATCTCATAGCCACCGTGATGATGATGAGAGAGACACGCAAACTCCAAATACACAGCAGCAGGCGTCAGGGTCGGGATGGAACCCACGACCCCCTGTATACCAGGCGAGGTAGTCAACATCATATCCACCGTGGTGATGATGATGATGAGGGAGAGACACGCAAACTCCACAAATACAGTATACAGGTGTCAGGGTTGGGATGGGACCCACGACCTCCTGTATACCAGGCGAGGTAGTTAACATCTCTTAGCCACCACAGTGCAGTGGTGGCGAGTTGTGATGATATCGTTTATATTACACTAGCGGGAAGCACCCGGCGTTGCCCGGGGGAAAAATATATATTTAAAAACTTAAAAATATAACATATACGAATTAAAATAAAACTTTGATAATTACCTCATAAATTAAAATAAAACCCAACGCGCGGTGGAAAATAACTTAAGCTCGCGCGCCAAGATTCAATTCTTTAAATCGCGCAAAGGAACCGAAGGTTGTAGATTTCTTTAGAATCGGCCTATTCCCGTTTAATCGATACCGCAAACGCTGACCAGATATCGATTCTCGCCAGTCCTGTATGCGGGTTGACGCCACACACTTCATGGTCATTTCCCTCTTCCTCCCCCGATTACAAAAGTCTATTTTTATATGTTTTACATTGTGTACAGTATGGGAGCTAGCCACATGGCAAATTAAAAGTTTGTAACCTATTTCCCCTCCCCCCAGCCGGCCTACGCGGAGGGTTGGGGGGGTATGCGTGACGTCAGCAGGCACTGTGCGTCACGCTAGCAGGCACTGTGCGTCACGCTGCCCCATGCGGGTGACATGACAGAGTTGTGACGTCAAAAGTCTATTTTTATAATGTTTGCATGGTGTAGTCTGGAAAGTACCCACATGGCAAATTTCAAATTTGTTGAATGTCGGGAAGTACGCTAAACATTTTGAACAGACACACATATTCACAAATTTCCCTTTTATATATATAGACCAGGTTGTACAACCTACCTTTGCTGACTCATGACAGTTTATCCTGCTGTTATTCAAAACCAGTCGCCCATTATGTGATGGTGTCATGGTCCAAATTTTGCCAAATTCTAAAATTGCCCACAAATTACTCAGTTGAGATTACACATCATTAGACCTCCTTTGCCAGTACCAAAATATAATAATAGGGTTTTCCCCCTTTTTTCTGGCAACAAAACGGAAACCTTTTTACAAGGATTCATGTCTGCATTAACCACAATACCTATGATAATATATGCATTGTCCTTGAAACTAATTGGTCCACACCAGATTACACCTCGCAATTATAATCATCGCCCCCTACTGGGTCACCCTGTGCCACGCAGGGATAGCTGCCACAGGGGGTGTTCGAATAATTGAAATGAGATGTAAGCCGCGTGTTGCGTCTGAGGCATTCTCAGATAACCTGGCTTAAAGTGTGCTCGATCAAAAACAAATGATGATAATTATTATTAATGTCATAATTCTGCCCAAAATGCTGTCGAAGCTCTAGAGAATTATCTGATATTGCCACTACATCTGATACCCTCCAGACACTGGAGTAGGATGTTATCGAAGTTGTGGGAGATGGCGTGATGGAGGAATAAGAAGCAGATATTATGGATCGGAAGTCGCTGTAGCACCAGTTAAATACTGTATATATTATTTAATTGTAGTATAGCCCAATGTATGGAATATATTCATTCTACTTGTCTGTGAACACTTGTTCATTTTCTTAAAAAAATTCAGAACAAAGAAAGACGTATTCAACTTCGAGTAATATCCAAGAAGAAACTTCACAATACCAAGTAGAGGTAAGATGCATTCATTATGAAGACATGATTTTTTAATTACAATTCATAATTTGGACAGTTAAAACTGAATAATTATATTATAGTACAGGGCAATCACCACCACCATTGTCCCTCTATTCACAAATCCCATGGCAGTGGAACGCCCAGGGTTGCCACCCATCCGGTTTGACCCGGACAGTGTGGAAATGGGCATCCCGTGCTCTCAGGTGGCACAAATGTTTTTGTATCTGCAAGAAATGCGGAGTGATCCTGATCCTGCAGTGAATAAGAAACATTGAGGAAAAAGAAGTTGTATTCCTAATACTCATGGAATTATGATAAATGTATTATACAGCAGAGAACCACAACTGTTATGATAGCTCACGAATAATGGGATAAATATTGCAATCTTTCATGCAGTGGAATCCATTAAGAGATGCCTCACTAAAACTACAACTTTCGATTTAAAGCTTTCGTGACTGCAATGATTCATCTTCTTTGGTTCTTTCGGTGAAGTCACGTAGAATGAGAATAAAATAAAATAATAAAGACCGTGATCTGAACGTGGCTCTTTCACTCCAGCGCTGTCCTACCAGACAGTCTCGTCCCTTCACCTGATGAAGGCCGCTTGTGTTGTGGCCGATACGTCGTGAGAATATTATTGTGTTATTTTATTTTATCAATTTATTATTTTATTCTCATTCTACGTGACTTTACCGAAAGAACCAAAGAAGATAAAACTACAACCATAAACAATATAGAAAAACACTATTTTATTTTAGTGCCTCTGCATGTCTCCCACCAATATTGATGCACTTATTTAGGTAAGGATGCAATCAACTTTATACGTAGGTTGTCGCGACCAATATCATTCATAATAGAGTCATAATACGCCACAAATATAGCTTTCGCCTGATTATTCTAGTTGTAATTACTGGCAAAACGTCGTTGCTGAATTGTAAATGTTTTAGTGTGTTTACTCTCCAAAACACTGGCGTGCTGTGCTAGTAACGAATTAGCATGTTTTGTTTACGTGACAAACCTTACTAATTGGCTGTGTCGGGTGGTGGTGGGTTTAACGACACATTTATATTTGCGCCATCTCTTTAATCGATGGAATAAACTGTTGAGGGGAAAGCAAGAGAGTCGTTTGAGATCAGTGGGGTATCCATGAGGGGCATATCATTCAGTGTCCACTCCAATAAATGTATGAAAAGTGCAAGAAGCAACCCAGACCAACCAGTGCATTATGGTAGAGTTAAGAACGTTGCAGCTGCATTGCATATTTGCCACCGTACATTGCACTGAATGTTGCCTGAATTGTAATATCACAAGGTGCGGGCATTATGGAAATCAACGACAAATGTCCACAATCTGATGTCATTGTTCATTGCCAAACGTGGAGTTGTATGCACCATGATTATATTATTAATTTATACACCACCTGCAGATGCCATTGCACATAATGCAATTATGCCAGAGTAGAAACTTGATGGGAGGAGGTGGTCCACACAAATCCCGATATTAGAAAAACCATGACAGAACAACCTGCCCACTCAAAGCGAGTCCTGAACACGGGACTCTCCAAAATATTACAAGTATCTTGATCTCAGCTACGGTCGATAGTATTGCACGGTCAAAATGAGCCCCTGCAGAGGCTACAGTGTCCAGCCTATCATTCATTACGAAAGTCCCTAGGGGCATACCACATTAATGCCTCACACATGTCGAAATGTTTAACTTCTGAGGCGAAAGCCCAGGAGGTGGAGACAAATCTAGACGAATGAGACCTCTCCAACTCTGGATGATGCTTACACTTCACCTCATAACTGTACACGCTCTCTAAGCCAAGAGGTGATACGGGATGTAAGTAGTCTGGTCCAGACATTTCCAACTGTAGAGCATAAATAGGCGATCAGTCTTACAGTGCTGTCTGAACCTGTTGAGATAACCCTCTGATGGCCTCGGAACATCGAGGCAACTTCACAACATTTACTTTTCAGAGGTCAGTTTTGGACAGTGAGGGCAGATAGCAATGCTCATGTTGAGTATTGTGGCCCAATTCACTTTTGGCAGAAAGACACCATGTGCACACAAAAGCACCCTCTCTTCCAACACAAAGTTTGCAGTTCCCCGAGCTGTCGTGCTAAGGGTAACTGCTACCAACAGGGCCACATTCCAGGTAACGAACATCAGGGAAGTCAATGCTCGTGACTCAAAATAAGGCCGACATAAAGCAAACAGGAACAGAGGAAGCTCCTAGGGGAAGTATGGCCACTTTACGGGAGGTCTTTTAAGTAGGACACCCTTCAAAAATACCTATGCACGAGTGTATTGCTCGACACAAGGGAGCTATCAAAACCGCTGTAGACAGTCGAGATGGCTGCTACTTGGACCCCGATGGTGAATGCTGCTAGGCCTTTGTGGCATTCTTCCTCAAGGAAGTCCAGAATAGTGGGAACTGGGAAACTCTTTGGTTGAACATGTCTCTCTATACTGAACCCCGGGAAAAACGTCCAATAAAGATTGTAGATCATACGGGTGGAAGGTATTCTCATAGGGAATCGTGCAACTCGGCTGGAGATCGATCCACTGACGGAATGAGCGTCCGTGCTCACTCTCCATACCGCTTGTCTGTAAAGGTGAACCTCTGCGCTGAGCAATCTGCCCTTAAACAAGAGCTCCTCCTGAAGCAGAAGCCTTCAGGGGCTGGCTACGGACAATCACAAAATGTTCAGGGTGGTGCTGATTTGCAACGTACAATTTTAACATTGGGACGCCAGAGGCATCCAAGAGTTAATGGCAATAAAGTTTGCTTGTTCATTATTGAGTCGTGACCCTCTACCTAGCTTGTGTAAAGCAGCATTTTGTCCAGTGGCATCTGCTTTTGCTTAACAATGTTGAGGGCAGGATATGCTTAACAAATGTTTTATAAAATGACATTTTCCCCAAGCCTTTTCCTTATTTTATATCGCTAGCATCTGACAACGATGGTGATGGATAAGAAGGTGGGTGTAGCATCTATAGAAGACGGCATGACTAAACTGAAACATCTTGAAAACAATGGAAAGATCTGGATTCAAGACATGCTTCTACAGGTGGACAATAGTGCAGTCTACCTGATCGACTTGGAATGCAAGGTACCCCCAACGTTTGCAAAACTCCTTCGGTAACTGGAGGCTTTATCGGATATGTGCAATTGGATATCTCAAGCAAGCTCATTTGAGTATACTAGATAAAAACTAATTTGCATGTTAAGATTGCCTGCATGAACAGTAATATTCAGCTTCACTGACCTAAGATCTATGATCGGGGAAATAATGACAAATGGTGTCTATAAAATGGAATGCACAGTAAATCTGCGGCAAACCAGACCCTGGATAGCCAGAGTTTGCGTTTCCAGGGCACTTCTGCAGCTCCCTTACATCCATGTCTTCGTGCTCGTATGGGAATTCTGCTCACTAGCAGTGCTTTTTCCTCTGAAGTTTTTATTTTTACTCACTGTTAGTGTTGTATGTTTCCTTGAGGACACGATTTCATTTATGACTTGGGGAGCAACACGCTGTAATGTTGAGTGCAGTACATAACCACGCCAACAGTACACAACAGTACTGTGGTGTTCATGATCTCACCACATTTGATAATATTTACAGAAGCATGATTTCATACAAAGTTAACTCTAGATGTGTGCGTGGGTAATGTTGGAAATAATGTATAGTGTTGTTTGCGATATCTTACGTGGATATTTCTGTAGCAGTTTAGCCAGACTTGTCAGCTAAGCTGGACCAATGCTCACCCCTGTGAGTCCAGCTCAGCGTGGTGTTACTGCAAATCTAATTATTTAACCTTTTGTAGCGTTTATGTTTGAGTTATTTTCCAATAATTTCTATAAAACTGTCGCTAAAGATTGTTTTTGCACACGTAAAAAAAACTATAGGTCCTGTACTTGTTATACCGAACTACAGTACTGGAGTCGAATAATTAAAATGTTGTCATTATTACAACTGATCTTTCCCCTTCAGAAGAAGGATTCAGTTTAAATGAAACTGACGCAACTTGTAAACGTAGAATATTTCCAGAGGGAACAAAAAATATGTCAAGTGACAAAAAAACAATAATTGCAAATGTAACTCATGAACTAGAATTAGCCCAAACTGAAACGGTCTGAAATGTCCACCGAACACACTTTTTTTTATTCATCGCACGTGGAAAAAAAAATATATACCAGCGAAGGAGGAGACAAGAGTCCATCAGGCGCTGCGGCGATCCACGGTGGTGAACCTCCACATGCTCCAGGGTCCACCAGACAGCTGTGGCCGACAACTTCCGAGATGATTTTAGCTCTGTCATGCCCAAGCATGTTTTGTCTAAATGAGGGAAGCTCATAGGGTGGAGTTTGACTTTTATATGTGGGTGGGGGAGGTGCAGGGGTTCGCTTTGTTCCTCACATTAGGAATCGCGGGTGCATATAATAACTGATGTTTTCATCTTAATTGTAATGGACTGAAAATAAATTAATAAAGGTGCCCCGGTTTGGCGGGTACTTTGCCCCCCCCCTCGTGCCCCCCCACCGCGGGGAAGCTACGTTAGATGGAGAAGCTACGTTAGATGGGGAAGCTACGTTACGTATGGAACTAGATTCCACTTCTTCTACGTACCAAGTGTTTGTTCGCCTGTCCTGCGACAATGTACTGAACTTTGCATTGGGAGGCTGATTTATGAAAATAATATATAACGAGGTGGCTAAACATTGTATAATATTTGCTGCAGATTAACATAACTCTAATGGCGATATATATATTTTGTTGTCCTTCCCCCGCACCTCCGAATAGCACGGTGCGAAAGAAGTCCAACATACATGCAGAAAAGTACTTTTTTGAAATCCATGAATTCTTAGTGGGGAAGTTTTATTTGCCATCAGTCGTAACCACTGGTAGAGCCAGTGGGGGGGGGGGCACGTGCCCCCCCCAATGATCCCATCGAAATCCCTCATTTAGATCGGATCATTGGGGTTTATTAGTAATTAATCAGCATTTTCCGACCCCCACTGCCACTGTGTAGCATATTATTACGTGCCAGGGACTCTATGAGATTATAGGACAATAGTCTGAGTCCATAATTGGCAATAAGTAACGGCTAAGCAGTTATAAGTGACTCAGAATTGTGTGCAGTTGCGTATACAGTACACGACTTCCCTGAAGGAATTCACCTTCAGCGAGCGCGATGCCGATCACACAACGCGGTTCGAATTCGACCCTCGATCGATGGCCGCGCCATCGCCGCACACGCGTCGAATAAAAAGCAAGGGACAAGTCCTTACTTACTAACAACTCCTCTATCATTTTTTATTGTTGGGGGGGGTTTCCCCCCCACCTGAAAATCCTGACTCCGCCATTGGCCGTAACGACAATTGTCGTTTGCCTTTGGTAGCGTTCTGATTTGCCCTGCGATGCACAACAATACTTAGTGATCAACCCATGGATCACTGTTGTTCAATACCAAAACGCATTCCGGTCGACATCCAAGTCCGTGCAGGGGGCCTGTGGTCGTGCAGCTTGAGTGGACTGATAGTGTTTCACATTGTTTTTCCGAAATGTGAAAAGAAATATACTGATACGTTATGCAATTTAAGATGACCCTCGTTTTAAAAAAGACCAAAACTGAAATTAACATGATTTGAAAATGTTTTTATTGTAATAATAAAAAAACATTTACTCAAATTGTGATATTCGAATATTTTTTTATAATTATGTCGGGTATTAAAGTAAAAATATATCTTCCAAAGAAACAATGCGGTTTCTTCAATATTAGTAGATTTATATACCGTTTAAATATCTCTGTTCACATTTTATATTTAATTGCTTTATATGTTTGGAACTTTATCTGTAACTAAGTGATAGAATGGAAAATCGGTTGACGTTCTTGTTGTACATCGAGTTGGCATGGCCCAGGGATAGCGTATCTCCACTTGGTGCAAAGGTTCACGGTTTGATGCCAGCAGCCGCTATATTTATTACTGGAGATGTATTAACGATAACAAAATGGACCGTTTACTTCACAGTGGATGTTAAAGATCCCCCGATGTAAATAGTTTGTCCCAGGGTCATGGTCCAAATTTTGCCAAATTCGAAAAATTGCCTCCAAATTAAAAAAATTGGTTTTACTCAGAAGCAATCATCGCACTCTACTGGCAGACTGGTGCCTGTTTGCAAGCCAAGTGCTGAGTCACCTCATGACCGCACAGGGACAGCTGCCAGTGGGAGTGCCCTTTTTCATGTTTTACAATAAGATGTGGTGTATAAGTAAAGCACTCTGAGACTCCCCAGCGAAAAGGGCGCAAAATCAATAACAAAACAAAATCTCAACACATTCGTGAATACCACTTTGGCCTGAAAAGGATGTGTATACAATTGTCTAAGTTTTTACAAATGGACCATCTTCATAGAAGAGAGACAGAGGGGATAATACGAGTTCGAGACTGCACTTTACACCATGGGGCCTTATAAAATATACTTTTAAAACCGTTATCAAACAAATAATTGTCATTCAACGTTGGAATTTTGCTGCCATTCATTTTTGCAATGTGTCTCTTTCACGCGAACAATAATTGCGCGCAGGAAGAGCTCAACAAATACCCAATGGGGTTGATTCAGGTGTGCACGTCGTTCATGGAAGAGCCGCCGTACGTGTCGGTGTTGGCGCTGGTGTGTTGGAACGAACAGCAGCGCAAGAACAACCTGCACCTGTTCCACTGCGAAATCATCAAGGCGAGACTTTCCCACAGCAGTAGAACTGCCACACACCACACTCCTCTGACTGAGATGTCCCTTTTCGCATTGTGCCACTCAAGTGTCTGTCTCTCCGTCACGTGTCCTCCCTCTTGCACGCACGCACACGCGCGCGCCTCACCCATTACACCTACAACTCTCTTTCTCTTGTTATCCTCTCTTCCGGGGGGGGGGGGGGGGTGGTCAAACAATAACAAGACGAGCCATTTTTGTTCAGATTCGGTATTAAAAAAGCTCAAGATTTCAAGAGCCTCAATGCACTGTGGGCAGTACCGGATTATCCTAGCAGCAAAAGTAGCTACTACACATGTAGTAGCTACTACTACACATGTAGTAGCTACGGGCCCCGCACTTTCAACGGCCCCGCGCTAAATGCTTTCAAGCTATCAATTCCGGTTGAGTGATTCTGCACTTGCTCTATTACTATAGTACTATACCGCCTTCAACTTTTATGAACGACTGGGTGTTTAAGGTTAGCGATTTATCGTATTATCTGGCTGTATAGAAAATGAAAAATACAAAGAATTACTTTACTATGTAAGTGAAAAATGTGTGTTTTAATATTTACGTCTTTTTTATATTTAGGGCCCCTTCATAACATATGCTACAGGCCACGCACTATCTTAATCCGGCACTGACTGTGGGTGAATATGAGACAGTGGTGGTCCTTAATAAATAACTGTCACGAAGCAGTTCATTAAGGAGCCACGCGCGGCTCCGGAGCCGCAGCTTGCCGACCCCTGCTCTAATTCCAAACTCTCAAGCTGCTCACGCAATTGTGCCATGACGTTCGTAGCATCCTCCAGCACCAACGGCCATTGTGCTGTATATCCACTGCTGGATGACCGCCTCGTGATGGCCATTATCCGTGTCGCTCCTGCACACGACCCGATTTCGTTCCTCCGCCTCCGTGGTGTCCGTGAGCCTCGCACGCGTTTGCTCTCGTGCCTGCCGCTGCATCACCAATCGGTCCGTCAGTCACCTTATATTCGAGCGACGTGTCCTGCCCAAGCATACACTCACTTTTATAACGGTCAATACGATGTTATCTATCTAGATTTGAAGTTTTCGTGACTGCAAGGATCCATACTCCTCGGTTCTTTCGGTAAAGTCGCGTGGGTAAAAAATAAATTAAATCACGACGTTTCGGGCGCAACGCAAGCGTCCGTCATCAGGTGGGACAACCACAGCAAGGAACAATTGCTGGAGTGGACAATTGTTTCTTGTTGTGGTTGTCCCACCTGTGACGGACGCTTGTGTTTTGCCCTAAACGTCGTGGTTTTAATTTGTTTTATACCTACATGACGTTACCGAAAGAACCAAGGAATACGATGTTATCTAGTTTGCGTTTGTTCTCCGATCCACGTGTCCTTCTTGTTGTCCCGCGTTGAAACTCTCTCAGCATTATTCGTGCACCGTTCATTGTGTGAATTTTTTGTGCCAGTATTCATGTGTCTGATCCTCATGCATGTCAATGGCCTTATTCTCTGATTTAAAACGCTATTTTGTAGGCTGCTTTCCATAATCAAATGCAGTTTTCCAAAAGCACTCCCCGCTTTCCCCCACCCCCCTTCTCATCATCATCTTGATCCTGGTCCTTCCCTGCTCGACAATTGCCCCGAGATATCCGCAACTCCGTCGAGCGGATGGTTCGCCATCAAATGCGAGGTGACAATTCGCACCCTCGCGCCAATCGTAGTGACAGCCACCGTTGATTTTAAAGTACAGCGCCTTGCGTTTTACACGCCTTAGCGTGACGCGATTTTGTAAATCGCATGTTAGATTAAGGCGCACTTATTGTTGCTCTGCACGCTCATCCAGCGCGTTGGCCACGGTGCACGGAACTCGCTTGCGAGCTGATCGTTAGTCGGAGGGGGTTAGGGGGCAGGAAAGTAGAGTGGCGATGCTGCCTGAGGTGCAGCAGGGAGTACTGCCAACAACCACCACAACATGGGCAGCGGCATCACTCGGCGTCTCCCTCCTCGCGCGCCACTCTCCATTCCTCCCCTCCACCAGCCCCACAGTATAGCCGCCACACTTAAGCATCTGACTACGGGGCCGTCCATAAATGACGTCACGCACCTGGAGGGGGGGGGGGATCAGACATTTGTGACGATGTGTGACGAGGGGGGGGGAGGTTTGAGAAATGTGACGTCACATCAAAATGCGCAACTTTAAATAAATAAAGACAACACGTTCTACTTAATTAAATAGACTTGTTAATAAATGTTTTATCCTACAATATCAGAGTGCAGCGCCACATTAAATACGCACTACAATGACAATAGTTTAAAGCGATTTGAAGCATGTTTTATATTTTTTTTGGGGGGGGGGGGCATGACGTCATTTATGGACGGCCCCTAAGCATCTGACTACATGTTACAACATATTTTTGTTTAACTTTATTTTTATTGATTTAAATAGGCTGTTACTATCTTTAATACATGTATGGTAGAACTGTAAATATATGTTATTGTAAGCCGTGAAATATATAGACGTGAGAGTGAGGTTCGATAGCATGCTCTCACTAACCACCACCATTTCCCTCATTTATTATGGGAAAATTATATTTTAATTTGCGCAGTTTTGAGTTACGTGCCGTTTTTCGAGAATGCAAACCCCGTGTAAGACGAGAGGCAGCTGTAATCGATTGCGTGAAGACTTTGCGAGCGCCACCGATTGGACCCTCTACGTCCACGCGTTAACGCATAGGCAAGCGATTTTCCAATGCACGAACTAACCCACGAACACCTTTGTATTGCTTGTTGCTGTAGGCGGATTTGATCCGGAGTGACATCGAGAGTGCGATCATTGACAGGTTGTGTGGAAACGTAAAGAAGCGACCAGAAACTCTACGGTAAAGCCAAGATTTTACTCGCATTGTTGCATGAGCAAAACACAAGTCCTACATGAATGCAAATCATGATCCTTACCATGAATGCCTTAGAGTAATGAGAATATACAGCGCGCAAATATAAAGATACGTGTTAGTAACGATCAAATTAAATCCACGAACGCCGGACATGTTTTGTTTTTTAACACTCCTTTGATGGAAGTCACACTGTGTGTTTCTCTTAAATGTTTGCCTCCTCGTCCTCCTTCAGGAAGAATGCAGAGAAGCTGAACCACGTGGAGTCCTCGGGTAAATCGGAGAACAACGAGAAAATGGTGCAAGAGATAGCAGCAGCCTGTAAACAACCTGGGATTGAAGACATGAATATACCTCAATTGCCAGGAACACCATCCCAGAGTGAAAAGAAAAGTCGTATTGCTGCATGGACGGCCAGCGTGGCCAACCGAGGTATTGATTTTCACACATGAAGCCAACAGCCCCCCCCCCGCCCCCTCCGTATGGCTTCTAACAGCATATTGGGGCAAGTGCTGTTCGTGAGTAGCAGCACCTATGAAGGCCGGCACGGCACACGAAGGGGCGGGTGTCCAGCACCACGCCCCACCGTCTTTGTCTCCCCAGTGGCGATGTTTACTACACCGCACCAGGCAATCATTTGAGGTCGAGTCGACCGAGGGGAGGCCCAGGGCCGGTTCAAATATTCGTCACTGGTGTTGGCCGTGAGCAGGAATCGGACTCGGGTCATCGGCTTCGTAGGGTAGCGCGCTAACAACTGCGCCACCGCGCACACGCACACACACATGCACAGACCAATATTGTAATTGAAAGACTTTCACGAATAATTATTGAATAGAATACAAATACACGTCTCTTATCGCTTAAGCCAAGGTTGTTCTGCTGTTAGAGTAATCGATGAATGTGCATATAATGAAAATGTGCACGGCTGAACGGGGACACTGCATTTTATACGTGGAAGAAATAATTCTGGTTATTCATGATCACCCTCTCAATGCAAAACGTGCGCGTGGCCCCGAGTGTGCATCGGCGTAGTCATCCGGTGACGAGTGGATGATGTTGGAGCGGTGACTTGGTCTAGCTGTAGCACGTTGCTCATTGCAGAGCTTCACGGGCCAAATGTATGCGAATGCTGCGGAGTTGAGAATACAATAATTCGTATTTTAAGAACACAAAAAATTACTTTTATGTTCGCTTGAAAAACGATTAGCTGGAAACATTCTCTATTTTGCATCCAAAGGGGTTCAAAGAGGTAATTGTTTCACCCGAGGAGCAGATTACAGGTTCTGAAATTACCTGGAACATTTGAGAATAATGTACACACAGATAATGAAATGGACGGTGTTGAATAGCAACATGAATGGTGCTTTAGATGAATCCCACCCGATTAAAATGTCCAGCGACTGGTTGCAAAGCACATTGATGATGTGTATTACATTTTTTTAAGTGATTGAAACCAGTTCAAAATATTGACCCAGCAATAACTAGGAGAGAGATATTTATTTACATGCAGGATCTTTGTTTGGCCACTGAAGAAAATATGTGGATTTTGTTATCCGGTGGCAAAGAGAGAACATTGGTGTTTGAACAGAGAGGCAGTGTGTATTGGTGTTGAATTTCAAGGATAATAATTTGATTAAAAGGCTGCTGTAAGGAGTGCTCAAGACTGAGAAAGGAGAGCAAATGCAATACTGGCTGGACTGTGAGCTTCTCGACTGGAAATACGACGTAAGAGATGCATTGCATGCTGTACATATCATAGATTTAGAATAGGGCCGTGTTCATTTAGCTATTGCCTTGAGAGCGATTGTGGCAAATAGTTTACAACATTACAAGCACTGTGCAAACATCACAAATATTTTTTTATGAAATTGACTCAAAGCTGGTTGAACTGCTCAGTCAATCTGTTTCTTATGCGTTTGCCTGGATGAATAACAACTTATGTGTCTATGTCCAGATTAGTCAGCCAGGAAATGTCTTCAGTAACTGTGTGGTGGATAGCTTCAATGCATCTGTTGAATGTTTTGAGTTCTCAGTTTTTGTACTCTGCTTTCTATGATGTGGCTGGTGTTCACGTGATGGCATGCTGGGCTTTATTTAATTTTCGACGTGTAAAAGTAGTTATTTATGCTTTGGTGAGATGTGCAGATTCGATTTAATTCGTCCATTTTTGTTTTCCAGTTAGTTTTAATCCCACATATTATTGAGTGGGATCAGCTATCAGTTGTTTGTTTGGGATATTGGTGTTCAACGAAATATATCAGCATTTCTCTTTGAGCCCTAAATGTAGAAAATGACAAGAACTGTCGCTCAGCTCATCTACAATTTGTGCTGTCTTAGGCAATGGAATCGGTATATATTTGTGTTTCAATTAAGTTGGCATTGATTGCAGATTTGGATGGCTTGGATATGGCTGCATTCGTATATAGTTATTTTCTGTCTGCACAGAGCGCCAGGGTGGTGGTGGTTTGATTTTAGGTACCATTGGTAAGTCTCCATTGTGGCGTTTAAGATGCTATCCAGTTGTTTAGTGTTCAAATCGTCTGGATAGTAAGATTTTTTTTTTTTTAATTTCGCTAGCTAAGGCCCACTGAGCTATAAAGCTCTTTTTTCAGAAACGACCTTGCCACAAATGATAGCTCAATGACGTGGCTTATCATGTGGAAATGTATAGCAGCCAAATACTCTAAACGCATGCTTCTAAATATGGAGGGAAAAATCCCATGCGACCACAGGGATAACATGCAAACTCCAAATATGCATACTCTTAGGTTATTTTGGTAAAGTCACGTAGGTAGAAAATAAAGTAAAATAAAAAATAATATATCACGATGTTTCGATCGCAACACAAGCGGTCGTCCTCAGGCGGAAAAAAATATAATCCAACAGTGGAACTGCTGAACTAGCAAGAGAGCTGTTACAACAACAAGGAGGTTATATACGTGGCGAAGGGCAAGCAGGCGGGATCTGAGCTGGAAAGGAATTCCATCCCCAAACGCAAGCACACCAGTTGTTAATGGGGGAGATTAGGGAGAGAGAGATTAGCATAAAATGAGCTTCCGTCGCCGCACAAAAACACCGTCCCCGCATATGCGCACAACAGCAGTGTTAATGGGAGATTAGCACTATGTTGATGGGAGAGATTAGGCAGAGAGATTAGGGCGATTAGCAAGTTAATGTCAAGTCTGTGTGTAACACAAGCTGCTGCGGCGCTGCCACCTGTGCTGTGCGAGGCGAGCGCGTCCACGCAAGAGAACCACCGCAACGGTGGTCGCGCCAGTGGGACACACAGCCCATCACACAGCCAGAACCATCGATACATCGAGGCTAAGGGAGCAGAGATGGCCATGTTAGTGAGACCCCAACCCGTTAATGCAGAGGCACCTAACAGGGCAATGCAACTCAGAGAGTCGGAGATAACAGCCAAACGGCAGGGAAGAATGGAAGCACCACAGCAAGTTACGACTTTGCTTGGTTAATAACGTCCTTCCAATGATTGCTCAGCTTATACTCATCTTTTCGGTTTAAATTGTCTCTGTGTTTATATATCTGGATGGCTTCATGGACAATTCAAATATACAGGTATCAGGGTCGGGATAGAACTCAAGATCTCCTGCGTACCAGGCGAGGGAGATAAAATCTCGCCACCACGGCGCCCCTTAGCCAAGCAATAGCAACACCTTGGCGAAGGCAGTCAAATAGTACCTCTCTATATTAGGAATTCAATCATCCCAATTTAATTTCAGATGCCACTTGTGTAAAAACTGTGGACATTGTGGTATTTTAAATAGTTTCATTACATATTATTTTCATTTAAGTAATGTATTTTTAAAATCAGCTCCATTACAGATTATTTTCATGTAAGGCATGAATCAATAATTCAGCTCATATAACAGTGACTGAAATGCATCAATGTGTAGAAATGGTTTGCGAAATGATGCTGGCTCAAAACTATTCTGAATGCCTCACTGCCTTCGAGATGGCATTTGCATGAATGTAGCACAAACATGCGTAGAATGGCATTCACTAAATGTACAAAATCTGCATGTCGCACAGAGTTCGACCTGACAAGTGGCTCATCCATGGAAGCGGAGGACAACCAGGACATAGACGCCAGGAAAAGGGAGCGCGATATGGTACACGTGACGTGCTGAGCTACCGCAGTGAAGATCTGATAACATTTTGTTGCCAGCTTGGCATCTTTATATTTTATGTAAAGTTTCATTAACTTGCTTGAATTTTGAATACGCAAAGTATATTTGTTTCGCAATAATATATATTTAAAGATGTTTTAAGAGATGCTGGCGTCAGTGATTTCAGATTAATTTTGTTTTGTATTCTTCAGGATATATTAACACAACTAATGGAAGAAATGAAAATTTTCGTGTCGAAACTGGACAAAGATGCAGGTGTTGTGTTTTTTTGTTGTGTTAATCACTGACTACTCTAAAATAAACTATTTTTATTTTATACTCTTTAGTTCTTTCGGTAAAGTCACGTAGGTAGTAAAATAATAGATCACCACGTTTCGATCGCAACACAAGCAATCATCATCAGGTGAGACAACCACAGCAAGAAAAAACTGCTGAAGTAGGCGAGAAATCTGCCGTGGCACGAGGTTATATAGTAGGCCTCGGCAGAAGGGGAGAGAGAAGAGGGGGGGGGAGGAGGCGGGGCAGAAAGTGGACCCCGCAGTAGCACCCGGGTCACTGGAGTAGAGATCGGAGAGAGATGCACAGAGAGAGAGAAAGACACACACACAGTCGGAAATAATAGCTGACATAGGCAGGTAGGATGTAAACATCACAGTCATTTAAGACTTTACCTGGTTAATAACGTCCTTCCAATGATTGCTTAGTTTGTACCCATGCTCTCAGTTGAAGTTGTGTCTGTGTTTATATATCTGGATGGTTTCATGAACAAATCTCTGATAATAACCAGTTGGTTTGCAGAGTACCTTCGTCTGGGAAAAGTCAATTTCGTGTGATCTCACTGCGTTGAAACAATGATCAGCAATGGCAGAGGAATTGGTCCTACTGTGTTTCAGATCTGCCTTGTGTTCGCGAACGCGGTCCGAGACATGTCGTTTCGTTTCCCCAATGTAACTGCTGCCGCAGCCACAACTCAGTTTGTAAAGACCCGGGTATTTTTATTTTACCAGGTAGGGCCCACTGAGGTCTGTAGATTTTTTTTCAGACGTGACTTGGCCACAAATTATAACTCAACGAATTGGGCTTATCATGTGGAAATGTGTTTATAAATGTGGAGGGAAAAAAACCCAGGTCCCGGAGGAAAATCCACATGATCACGGGGAGAACATGCAAACTCCAAATATACAGGAGGCATCAGGGTCAGGATCAAACCCACGACCTCCTGTATACCAGGCGAGGTAGTTAACATCTCGCCACTGTGGCGCCAGTGGTAGTACTCAACAAAGGTTTTATACTTCAATTATAATCATACACAGGTTGAAGCTTGAAATGGGAATTACAAGATGGAATCAGGCTCTTATAACAGAAAATAGACGACACTGTATGCACTCGCAAATGGTTGAACGTCTTCCAATGGATAGCAACTTGCTGTGCACCAACAACTAAACTATGCAGTGTTATTGTTGCTATTGTTTATATATGTTAGCGATGGAGTGATTAATATATACATGTGCACAAACAACATTTTTCTGACTCATGATATTACCATGATTATGTTGTTCCATAGAATATATGCCTGTGCTAGACTATGTATACTTTGCGTTTTTATTGTATACAGGGACTCCTCTACTTACGAACGAGTTAAGTTCCAGAGGTCTAAACTCGATTCGAAGCTTTCGTGACTGCAGGAATTAATCTTTGGTTCTTTCGGTAAAGTCACGTTTCTACGTCTGTTCGTAAGTCGATTTGTTCGTAAGTCCAACTTTACTCCTGTTGATTCCAAACATGTTGTACGGCGTGTACACTAAACACAGGGAATGGCTTTGAAAGTTGTATAATCTCCTGCAGATGTAGATGCCACCGCCACGATCTATTGCGCGGTGGTTGAACTTACGACTCTCGGTCCGAACAGGCAACTGGACATACGGACAGGTTTGTTCATATCTCTGAAATTTCGTAAGTCAAATGTTCATAAGTAGAGTAGTCCCTGTACATGTCAATACAGCACAGTGTTGTACAACTGCAATACATATGGCAATGGCCCTTTGTATGTATGCTGAACTTCTTTCGCACCGTACATAGTCAACCGTGCAAATAGTATAATACTACTGTAATCATTGTCGTTCTTATTATAGTGAGTACCTGTTGATGTTTCTCTGCAGATACTGGGCCTGCTGCGAACAGCGATCTGCCTTCCCAGGAGGAGTTTTTTGACATCTTTCAAAAGTCTAAGCTCGCCCTCACACTCGTGGTAAGAAACACTGGTTCGATGTCATGCATATCACATGGCCCACGGCAGCGGGTCTGTCTTGACTTTTGCAAATAAAATGTGAAATGTCATAAAAATTCTCGAGTAGACTTAGCTTTCATATTCTACAGTTCTCCCTTGTTATTCACGATGGATACGTTCCAAAGATGCTCGTGAAATGCAAATTTCGCGGATAATGATACTGGCATATGAAACCCTATCTTTTATCTCATCATTTTATCTCATCACTTTACTTAATGACTTCTCGCATCACATTCACTCTCATCACTTTGTCTCATCACTTCCTTGCTTTTTCTCATCTCGATGCAGTCGTGCAGAGTTCCAGATGCGATTCGCGGATAGCCAAAATCGCGGACAGCACAGTTCGTGAATAACGAGGGAATACTGCATGAAGCAGCTGTGGTGCGTTCAATGAAGTAGAGCGTTCCGGTGCGGTTTGCAATTGAACGATCTGGTGAGCCCAGAGCGTGTCGTAGCAGGAGCTAACGGTCTGAGGAGCGGCCTCGCTGAGCATTTGGTGTGCATTTAAAAATCCGCCAATCGCAGAGTAAAAAACTAAGGGACAGGGAGGAAGCTTCCCAATAAACATGGAACCCCTTCACTACATCTCCTCCAGTGCGGATTGACTCTTAAGAGCATTCATGAGGGCATTTAGGCACTCTCCCCTTCCCACCCCATTTTTTTTTCTACAGGGGTATGAGAGCTTAGGAAGACACCAGGAGGTTGTAGAGTTTATTGAAACATGCAGTTTAGATAGGTTTGCATTGCACTCTAATCCTTAATGTGTGGGTTGCGCTGGTGTCAACCCGCTTTCATATGCTCTGTTTTGTGTGTACCTGATATCATCTTGTTAATAAAATACTTTTGGGCAGAAAAAAAATCCGGTCAATCGGAGGCGCCGTAACTTCCTACGAATTCTCCGCTCACAGACACAAGGCTCATTGGCTGAGTGGGAGAGTGATGTCACCCGCCCCTGCTGGACATCTGCGAAAAAGAGATTTATAGCTCATCTAATTCCTCAATTTTAAATAAAGATTCTGATAATGCACTGCTTAATAAGAGCTGAAGTCCACCTTGTTACGACAAAACAGACCGTTTCTCTGCCCATTGAACGCACCCTCGAATTACTGCTTTAAATATTTTTTTGCGTTATGCTTGGCAAGCATGTGATCCACTGGGGTTAGCTATAGTCGCGTTGTGTATTTTTTGTGGTTGCATAGCTTGAGCAGCACAATATATATAGTTGATGGCTTCGGGGATCAGACGGAAGAGTTTCCACGGCAAATTCATCCTGTTATCCACGGGAGATGTGGATACGGCAACACTGATACTCTCTGTGTTCAACGCAGAGCCAGATGTGTTGACACAACAGCAAGTGAACTCACGAATATGTGTGTCTCGGTCTGTAGCTGATTGAAGAAGTTTATCTTCCTAGGCAGTGTGCTTATGACTAACTCCAATTGGGCAGCGGAGGTCTCACTCAGAATCAGTCGAGCAGCAGTATATTTTTTCATCACCTGCGTAATGATATATGGAAGCTACCTAGCCTTTCGCTCCATATGAAGCTCCGGGTCTTCTCGGCCATAGTTATGCCCTCCCTTCTCAATGCCTGAGAAACGTGGAACCATTTCAAGGAATATCCGCCCCGGTTTGAAACAGTCAGGCTGGCCTGCCTACGATCCATCATGGGTTTAACCAGACTGGATTGTGTGAGGAGCTCACATATCCTTGAAAGATCTGGACACAGTCCCATTGGTGAGCCCCTCCAGCAGGCAAGGCTGTGTGGCTGGGTCGTGTAGCCCGCATGCCTAGCCACTGCATGCCCAAGCAGCCTCTGTTTGACTGGAGAGAGGAGGCAAACCGGGCATGGCATGGGCTAGAGAAGAGATGGACTGCTGCGGTACAGAAATATGTGGAGCTGATTGGAATGGTGGTTATTACTATCCGTGTGTCTGTGTCTCTGTGGGTGAGGTTGAGAGGAAGAGACGGATCATATAAGAAATAGGCGCAGCAAAACATGAGAGAGAGCACAGAGGCGGCTCTGCCGTGCGGGCGGCGCGAGTGACTGAGTCAGTGTGGCTGTGTAAACGTGGGCGATGCTGACTGAAGTAGGGGATGCCAGCTCGCCATGTCCTGGTTGATCCGCCCAGAAATTTGGTAGCCTTCGAGTGCAATGGATCGATGCACTGCCCTGTGCTGCACACCACGTAGCCCCTCAGCCTCTAACGCATTGGCAATGGTGGTGGCCCGCCTCAGTACTCTCCAGGCTGCACCCTCTGCTTAGGGTCTGACAGCTGATGAGATTAGGCACATTCCAGGTGATTTATGAATTTAAAGTAAGTAACGTCACTGTATTCATTCGCATTGCATTGTCGAATGCGTGCATGACAGTGAGCGACGTTTCTCTGTGGTTGCTGCAGGCCCATCAAAAGAATCAACTCCAAAATCCGTCGGCCGAGGAGCTGCTTCACTCAATATTCGCCAGCCTACATAAGGTACGGTGCTATTGTCGTTTGTCATCAGGCATTTACCAGCTGTCACGGTGAGTCGCATACCATCCTCTGCGACGACGCATCATTCAAAGCAGGACGATTGTCCGATTGATTGGCAACTCAAACAACTTTCCAGCCCACACTAAGTGATATGCGTTACAGGTGTTGTATTTAAAATGAATGTGCCAAAGGTAAGTCTGCGACACACCAACGAGCGACGCGAGCAACAAAGTGTAGTTGCCGTATGTTTATATTTTACTGATGGAAGTGAGGACTGAATGTGTTTATGTCCAAACAAATTGCGTTTCTGAAAACATTTCCGGGGAGGTTAATTTTGTATTCCTGGCGTCTTTCCACACCTTACCGTCGTCACGCACATTTTTTTCCCCCGATGGCATAGATGTTTCCCTTGATGTTATTGTGAAACCTCGTTGTGACAAGTCTCGCGAACCCTCATCCACTTTACACCCTTCCTCGCAGTTGGAGACGCCTGCTTCGAATATTCACGGACGTTTAAAGTTTTATACTTTTACGCTGTCTGCTCTATATCATCGTCAACCATGGTCTATGCACTACTGGATAATGACCTCACGCCATTGCCATATCTCATGGTTTTTGCGATGGAATAATGCCGCTGCCTTCTGCAAGCTGATCTCATTGCTTCATCTCCCCGATGACCTAAACGGCTGCTCTTAACAAGCGCTCATCGTTTTTATTTCAGTTCATGAAAATGTTTCAACAAACACTCAATTGGGCATCCATCAAACAATAAATACATAAGTAATATGGAATATGCCGTCATGCATCCTGGACTACGCTTTTGGCTGAAAAATGTACAGCTTTGCATTACTCATAATGAAAAGTAAACTAAACTTTTTATTTTACCAGGTAAGGCCCACTGAGCTATATAACAGTTCTTTTTAAGAAGCGACCTGGCCACAAATGATAGCTCAACGAAGTGGCTTATCATGTGGCAATTTATAGCAACCAATAATCTAAACGCAAGTTTCTAAATGTGGAGGGGAAAAACCGGAGGACCCGGAGAAAAATCCACGCGACCACGGAGAGAGAGAGACACACAGACTCCAAATATACAGCAGGCTTCAGGGTCGGGATCGAACCCACGCCCCCCTGTATAGCAGGCGAGGTAGTTAACATTGAAATGAGATTGGTTGGAATATCAATATGGGCTGTACCTGTGTGCACGGGCTTAATTGCATTTTTCACTGCATGGGGAACAGGTGGTGCTGCTTTCTGTTTGTCCCTTGCCAAAAGTTACCTCCCACCCCACCTTTCACTTCAATACTGCATCTCGTGGCCAACTAAACATTTACATGATATCATCTTTGACAACCATGTTACATACATCCCGCAACGTGTCATCTTCTTTGAAGAATGGCTGTATATTCGGTGCACGTTGTCACCCCGCAGCTCGTGAAGAAAACGGGAGGTCCGGAGTTAGCGAGCAGCGTCATCAGCCCACTGCTCACTGAGGAAACAAGAGACCTGCTGGAGGATCATGTGACCGAGGCAGAACGATTGCTCTGGGTGTCCCTTGGCAATGCCTGGAAAGCGTCAAGGTAATTTCATCCAAGACAGAGCACAAACCATACAATTACAGTAGCTTAAGCACTCATTAAAGTTTCAACACAACGCGTTTTCCATTGCAGATTAATTTAATGTAGCATGGGCTTTCGCGACCGATGTTACGATTCGCAATAGGTTTTTGGGTCAGATCGCGAGAGTGAAATGCGTGCCGTCAACCCAGTTGCTAAACGTTCTGGTTCGCTGTCCGATTTCGACTGGCGGTGCTGCTGAAGCGGTGCTAAATTGGCACGTTGGCTCGTCGCGCGACGGCTTTGTTGATCGGCTCTGTCGGGTGGAGGAGAGTTCACGACACACGTTTTGCTTGCGCGATCTGGACCAAAATATCAATTACGAATCGCCGCGTCAAATAATTGGTGTTGGTGAGTTTAAAAAAATAAAATAAACTCCAGGTGACGACCTCGACCTTATTCTGGCCCCTCCCACCCCTCTTTGCTGAACCTGCGCTCTGATGCAGCCTCCCCAGCCCGACACGGCGTCTGTTGTTGGGTTGACAATGTCTCGAACAGCATTGCATTGTTAATTGACTGAACATCCTCGATGGAACTACAAATGTGTTTCACGTTGATAGTAACTTTACGGTATTTTGTGCGTGTAAATTAAAATACTTTAAGCTGGGTGTTGCTCTATGCACGTTGAAATTCTTTAGCACCATACGACGCCAACCGTGCCAAACGGAGGTGCGAGGGAATGACCACAAACTAAACTCTTAAGAGCAGTTCTTCGAGAAATGAGTGCTCAATCTAGATAATTTATAAGTGCATAGCTCCATTGGCTTCCGAACATAGGAAGTAAGAGCGTTCCAGACGGCCCCAAACGTTCCAGACGGTGGGATTTGCGTGCCTGGGTGTTTTCTGCCTGAAGTCGAGGTCACGCTGGTTTATTTATGGCAGGGAGGAGTGGCCACAGGATCAGGCGGTGCAAGAGTACACTCCGAAGTTCAAAAACGGCTGGGAACCTCCAGCTTTGCTCGCCGATGAGGATGATTGCAGCGAGCTGTGCTGCCCTTCAGATTCGGTCAGTGTGGTCGAGCAGAAGAGGCAACAGCAGAAGCAGCAGAAATCCACAAAGGTTTGACGGGGATATCATTGAACGTTCCCTTGATTTACCCTCTGACTCCAGTTGCACAAATGTATCTTTTTTTTTTGCAAGTAAACAGACCGTAAACAGACGTGAGCCGTCGCTTAGCGATACCCCTCCATGACCACCTCCAACATCCCCCCCCCCACAGAGTGTCCCCACCCCGACTCGCGTACCCCCTCCATCCCGTACCTCTCCTCACTCCCGCAAGGCCCCCCCCACTCCCGCCCCCCTCATTCCTGCACCTTTTCCTGAATTGAATCCACGCCGTTTATTTGTTTAAAGTTTAGTGTACATCTCTGCCATTAATATTCAGGGGAGATGGCATATCAGACCTCATTTCCAGACATGACGTATGCAGCAGCAGTAGCGATCGGTATAATATATTTTTGTCCAACTGTACAATGGAAAAGAAGTAATAGGTAAAAAATTTAAATATAAGAGGAAGCGCAATTCTGAAATAAATGTATAATGTTTTTTTTTTACTCAACACCCTCATCAACAAGACTGCCATAGAATAAATATAAATCTATACCTTCCGACGTTTCGGATACTGGGCCCCCTTGCGCACCACTGACCAACGCTGCATTGTCATATCATTGATCAAATAAGGAAAACAATGTACACACATCGAATTTTCCAAATATTTTTTTACCAAATAACAATTTGTTTCCAAAGTCACCAGTGGGTATCGTAAAACGTCGCCACGATGACCACGTGAGCCCAGTGTGGCCGGGGTTGTAGTCGGTGAAGGAGTCTAGCGAGCGGAATCATTTGGGGAGTTCTGCATTGGCTCTTGCTTGTTACGGCAAGTGCAGTCGGTCCACTGACGCGTCAGATCAGAATCAGATTCTTAATTTTTACTGGAGGAATCCAATGAGCTATGAAGCTCTTTTTCACAGATGTCCAGTAGGGAAACGGGCTCAGAATGTTACAACAAAAACAATACAAAAACACGATAGGAGTGAAAACTATAGGAAATGTAAACAAATTATTATTTTTTAAAATATATACTAATAAAACTAAACTTTTTGTAATCTTACCAGGTAAGGCCCACTGAGCCATTAGCTTCTTTTTCAGAAGTGACCTGGCCACATATGAGAGCTCAGCGAAGTGGCTTATCGTCGTGTGGAAATCCACAGCAGCGGAAATAATCTAACAAATAAGCCGTGCTGCCATTCCAGTGCACGAGTCATTCCATAGCTGTACTTTATACACCGTGTGCCATTACGTTCTGCACAGAGTGCTTTGTATTCAGCCGGTCAAAGTGCATTATTTCTAAGCTCAGCTTTTGTTGGATTTTAGGAATCGCCGGAAGACGAAATATCGCTGGACAGCAACAAGTGAGAGCAACATATACACGGATAACTGCGTTGTGATTTTTGTATCATTCATACATGATAAAGGGTTTTTTGGGTTAGATCGCATAAATATAAAAATGTGTTGTTGAACCCACCACCACCCGACACATGCTATTAGTAAGGTTTGTCGTGTAAACAAAACGTGCCAATTGGTTACAAGTTCAGCACACCAGTGTGTTGGAGAGTAAACCCACTACAACATTTACAATTTGAGTAAGATGTATTCGGTGTGTTGGAGAGGAAAAGATGTTGCTGTTTACATTCATTGCCTGTACAATTTTGGAAGTGAAAAGTATGTATGGTAACTCTTGACTTAAAGCTTTCGTGACTGCAAGAATTCATATTCTTTTGGTCTTTCGGTAAAGTCACGTAGATAGAAAAAATAATTAAAATATCATGACGTTTCGATCACAACACAAGCAATCGTCATCAGGTGAAAAAATTGCGAGATAGCTAAAGGGTTGAATTTCGCAGTCACCCCTAAATACATCCCAGTTGATGATATCATTGCCCAGGTCGACGTAGCCCTTAAGGGTTTGGAACACATTCCTGCAGACGTGGCAAGATCGGAAATTGCTGCAATCCTCAAAAACGCTAAGACACCTATTAGCAACATCAGTTAGGATGAGCGCTTTGAGCTTTCTCAACTAAAAAAGAGAGATGGCATAGTCATCCTCTGAGCCGACAAGGGCAATGCCACTGTCATCATGGACAAAACCACATACAACAACAAAATGATGGTAGCTATACCAAAATCAATTGAGATTCCACCAACCGCCTGGTTACGAAAACCAACAATATCATCACTGATTCGACACCTTTAATCGAACCAACCAAGCGGCTTTCCTTAAAACTCTATGCTGTGAGACCACCCAGATTTTTTGGCTTACCAATAATCCAAAGAAGATACACCACTTCGGCCTATCGTCTCCACCATTGACTCACCCACTTACAAACCGGCCCGATTTCTGTCTGAGACCTTACAACCATTCACTGGTAAGACCACCTCAGCTGGACTTAACGATCCTCACTTGGTATCGTTAATTAAGGACATCTCACTATCTCCAGGCAATTTGCTTGTCAGTTTCGATATAATATCTTTGTTTACCAAAGTTCCTGTTCCTGACACCATTTGGTCCAACATTGACTGAATGCTGATGTACTGGCCCTGGTTAGACACTGCCTCACCAACACTTACTTCACCTGGAATGGAACATTCTACAAACAGGTTGAAGGTACCCCAATGGGTTCTCCCTTATCTCCAGTTTTAGCCAACGTTTCCATGGAAAATTTTGAGACAGATGCCATCCAGGCATCCACCCTACGTCCTTCCTTTTGGAAGAGGTACGTAGATGACACTCGTCATCTGGCCACATGGCCTACCAGCTCTGGACCAATTCTTCAACCACATCAATTCCATACACCCAGCCATCAAATTCACCATGGAAGTGCAAAACGGATGGCAATTTACTATTCTTGGATGTCTACAGGAAAGCCACCCATACAGATGCCTACCTAAAGCCTGACTTCCATCACCATCCATCCCAGAAGGATTTCCTCATAAAAAAACTCTATACCATAGAGCTCGATGTATTTCTGACAATCACCACCTAGCCAGTGAACTGGAACACGTACACCAAGCCCTCAAGATGAATGGATATTCAGACTATACAATCTGTAAAGCTATCACCCCAACCGTTGGGAAAGAACCATCTGAGGAACCAATCAAAACCATCACCTTGCCATACATATCAGGGGTCACCAAAAAGATTTACAAAATCATGAGCAAACAAGATCCAGGTTCGATTCAACACAGTACATAAAATTCATGATCTGATCCCATCTGTGAAGGATGTGATCCCTGACATGAAATACCCCGGCGTCTACAAACTAAGCTGTGTCTACGGCAGTAGTTACATTGGGGAAACTAAGCGACATGTCTCGGACCGTGTTCGTGAACATAAGGCAGATTTGAAACAGGGTAGGACCAATACATCAGCCGTGGCTGATCATTGTTTTAATGCTGTGGGCATACACGAAATATTTGTAGCCTCTCTGGCAAAAACAATCCCGCGTCCAGTTTGGGAGAGGTTTTACTGTATCTTAAATAAATTCACACTCAATCAATGTTAAGTGCAGTGCAATTACCCGCACCCCATTGGTTGGCGACTTACGGTGCGAAAGAAGTTCAACATACATTCCTAAAAATACAGTTGTACGGGGGAGAGCTGTTTTCCTTGGGTTAACACACAGATGATGTATTGGGTGAATGCAAGCCTTGAGATTTGGCCACCTTCTGGAAGCGAACTGGAGTGACAAATGACTCTGGAGCTAGTCTCAAAAATAGTGTCCTCTTTTGCAGATGCGACGATGACCCTGGTGTCCAAGAAGTCAAAGTACTCGCCATTGCATTAAACCGATTTGCGTCAAGAAACAAAACTGAGCTCTCCATCCAGAAAAACGACATTGTTTTGGTGAGCCTCTCACTCAACGGACACCTCGTGTTGTATCGCCCTGAGATCGCACTGCAAGATGCGATAATCTCCTTTACGAGGGACGTTTGCGAGAATTGGAACACCACTGATAACAGAGTACATTTTTAAACAGCATATATTTTGCGTAGAATAAATATGCTGAAAATATACGTTTGTAAAATGAGACCAATATGTAAAGTCGTTTGCAAATTGAGATCACCTCCTCTTTCTAATAGTTCCAATACAACTGAGCAAATCTGTTGTTTAGGTTGGACTGTACCAAATAGATGTAAATCCAGGTAATTAAAATAATTAACATAGGTTAGGCAATTTCCATTGCACTGCATGAAACGTTGTTCATCAACAACCCATGCTGAAGAGTACACCACGTATTGTGGTTGTACCTGGGGACTTATTGCGTCCTCCGCAGGGAAGTTCTGTGTACCATTTGCCTCCAGCTCTACGCCTCACTGCCCAGGACTTGACGCATTACACCCAGATCTTCATGGAAACATGTAGAGTAACGCCATCGCCGGCATAGCTGAGAAATATTTCTCAACGAGCGAGGCATTCTTATGTGCCTTGTGGTGGTCTAGAACATGCCGTACGCGAATTGCATATGAAATAAAGCATTTTATTTGTTATGCTATATATTAAAACACTTGGCAATTTGATAGAATAATGCAAGGCTCGATATTATATTAAATATTTCTCCGTTGTATGTTTTTTTCCCTATGTATATTTTAATTACAGGTAAACGATCACAGCAAGAAATGGTGGAAAGTAACCAAGCAAGATGGAAAAAAAGGCTTTGTGCCTCACAACATCATGGAAATCATAGAGAGCCCAGACGAAATGCAAGAAGCATTATTTGCTTAAACGGAATCACACAGTGATAAAACTGGAGTCTGCCACTTTAGTCATATCTCCTCTGAAATCCATGCAGCAAACGATTGTCTTTCAACATAGCAAAACACAAAATAATAACTACTTACCCTGAACGTTAACAACGAAGAACCATCGATCATCATGATCTCCAAACCTATAAGGGAAAAAAAAACCCGACGAATCTTCATTTTCGAGCCAAAACATGTTATCGTTTAGAAGGACGCGCAAAACAAAGAATGAACATGTTCTATTTCAAAGTCAGCCCACGGCACAGACAAGATCTCCTTAATGACTGTGCACCGCGCCAGAAATATGTGGCATCCTGAGGACTTTTGGTGATGGGGTTCAAAGTAAAAAAAAAATATCCCCTCACCGTTGAGGCAGTGTCTCATTGTTGGGTCACGGAAGCCGTTCAGGCTTTACTCATGCACCAGTGCAGGACTGGTTGCATTTTTACTTGTAAAAAGTTATTGTCTGACCCACAGGTTTTGTTGTTGAGGGACTATCCACACTCTTGCATTGGACTTCATTTCTATCGGTCCTAATTTTCAACTCCGCCGTAGCCTATGCCATGCATTTCCTTGACTATAATTGTTTTTAATGGATACATATTTCACATGTTATATCTATGTGACCTTTTTTGCAAGTATCCAAAATGATGAAATATAAGAATAGGTTTTTTTCCCATATATGACTGCTCGACCCGAGCTATACATGTTTCTCAATACTTGCATTATCTTTGTGCTGTTCGCCTTTTGGCGTTCTCTGGGCTAACACTCGTGAGACAAGGCCATGAAGAAGGCTGTCTCTGGTGTAACCCGTCTCAAAGACAATGCATACATTATCGGAGCATGTTTACTTGCATGTTTTGCCACAAGTATGTGTGGTTAATGTACACTTGATACCTTGCAAAAGGTATCTGTTTGGTGTTTGAACATCTTAACAACTGTTTTATTTTTTTATTTAAAACTTTCGTGACTGCAGGGATTCATATTCTTGGTTCTTTCGGTAAAGTCACGTAGAAGGGAAACAATAAAATAATAAAAATATAAAACAATAAAATTCTCACGACGTTTCGACTGCAACACATGCAATCATCATCAGGTGTGAAAACCACAGCAAGAAAATTTGAAAAAAGTGGCGTTTTTTTAACGTTAGCACCACGGAGAGCGATTTGGCAGTTATTCAGATGGACGAGTCCATCTATATTCTTAGTTTTTTCGGTAAAGTCACGTTGAAGAGAAACATCAAAATAATAAAATATATATAAAACAATAAAAAATTCTCACGACGTTTCGACCATAACTCAAACTGTCATCTTCAGGTGTGTTGGTTTGCATAAATTTATTTTTAAACGGCGCATTTATTTATTTATAAAAAAACGTTAGTGTCACGCGCAGCGATTTGGCAGTTTACCCAGGACTAGTCCATCTATATTTTGAAAAGAGGAGGGGGTAGACGAAATTTTTTATAATGTATGCTGTCTGAAAGCCACCATAAGCGTGAACAATCAATTAAGACCCGAAATGGTATATCTAATCCTTCCAATGATTGCTAAGCCAGAATCCACCTCGGTTGAAATTGTCTCTGTGTTTGTATATGTGGATAGCCTCATGAACGAATCTCTCATGGTAGCCAGATGGCTTGCAGATAACCTCTGTCTTGCAGAAGTCAATGTCATGTGAGCCTACTGAATTATAACAGTGATCTGCCACGGCCGAGGTGTTGCTCCTACCGTGTTTTAGGTCTGCTTTGTGTTCACGGATGCGGTCCGAGACATGTCGTTTGGTTTATCCAATGTAACTACTACCACAAAGGCAGACGCCAGGGTACTGTATGTCCGGAATCATCTTTTACAGACGGAACCAGATCACGGATTTTATGTAATGTGTTGAATCGGACCTGGATTTTGTGTTTTTTCAAGATTTTGGAGATCTTTTTTGTGATCCCCGCAATGTAGGGTAAAGTGATGGTTTTGAATGGCTCCTCAAGAGGGTCCTTCTTCATGGTTGGAGTGATAGCTTTGCGGATTGTGTAGTCAGAGTAACCATTAGCCTTAAGAGCTTGGTGTACGTGCTTGAGTTCACTGGCTATGTGTTCCTGGTCGGATATGCATTGGGGTCTATGGTGCAGAGTCTTGATGAGGGAATTCTTCAGGGATAGATGGTGGTGGGAATCCGGTTTCAGGTAAGCATCCGTATGGGTAGCTTTCCTGTAGACAGAGTGGCTCATTGGACCAGCAGGTCTCTTATTAGGACATCCAAAAAAGGTAGCTTGCCATCTTTTTCGACTTCCATGGTAAATCTGATGGCTGGGTGTATGGAATTGATGTGGTCGAGTAATTGGTCTAGAGCAGGCCGGCCATGTGGCCAGATGACAAAATGTACCTCTTCCATAAGGTTTGGGCGCAGAGTGGCAGTCTGGATGGCGTCAGTCTCAAATTTCTCCATGAAAATGTTGGCTACAACCGGAGATAGGGGAGAGCCCATTGGGGTGCCCTCAGTTTGTAGAAAGTTCCATTCCAAGTGAAGTATGTATTGTTTAAGCAGTGTCTCACCAGGGGGGTACCTCAGTGTTTAGTCCTTGATGAACCAAGTCTTCAATGATTGCGATGTTTTATTGCCAGGAAGGGTGAAGCCTATTGTTATTTTACATGTTCAAACAATACACATCACTGTGTCAACTCCAAATCTGCAGATATGGTGTAATCACATAGTGCATCACTGCTGTAATATATCTTTAACAACACTCACTAGGACTTAACATGAAGGGGTAATGGCCCCTTCCACCCACAACCAGTGGAGGGACAGCCTCCGGGCTATCTATCCTAGTCACTGACCTACTCCTATAGCCCTCCGTCTGGCTGGAGCTAAGGATGCTGACCCACCGCTGGCACCGGTGGGTCTCTGACCACTGGCCCGTCCAGACCCGGTCCTGAGAAGGACGTTGGGCTGAGGGAACTTCAGGGTCCTAGCCTCTCGACCTCTGGCACCGCACTGAGCCCCGGCCCTCAGAAGGACGTCGGGGCTTGGGGTCCAGGGTCTCGTCTCCAGGTGGCTCCTCGACTTGGGCTTGAGGCGAACTGAGCTCTGCTCTCAGGAGCCAGCCTTTTATACGATTCCCCACCGAGGGGCGGGGTTCTGAGGGATCACAGATCCCCCACAGCCCCCTCCCCTCAGGAGGGGTTCTGGCCACAGGTAGTCCATCCGATCTGTGTTTGTTTATCCCGCTTTCTGCCTAGGGGCAGGGTTCTGGGGGATCACACACACACACACTCCACAGCCTCCACCCCTCAGGCGGGGTTTTGGTCAGGGTTATCAATGACCCCGCTCTGGTAGATACTGTGTAGCGTGTGTGTGTTTACAGAGTGACCACCATACATGCAGTGCACATTTTTTTGTGTTACATCTGTAGTGACATCGCGGATGTCACTGTGTGGTGCCGGCCCTAGAGGGGCACGGCGTGCGATGCACTTCCATCGTAGATGTCACTGGGTAATGCCGGATCTAGCGAGGCACGGGTTGGGATGTACTCACATCACGGACATCACATGTGTAGCGACATCGTAGATGTCACTGGGTAATGCCGGATCTAGCGAGGCACGGGTTGGGATGTACTCACATCACGGACATCACGTGTGTAGCGACATCGTAGATGTCACTGGGTAATGCCGGGTCTAGCGAGGCACGGCTTGCGATGTACTCACATCGCGGACATGACGTATGTAGCGACATCGTAGATGTCACTGGGTAATGCCGGCTCTAGCGAGGCACGGGTTGTGATGTACTCGCATCACGGACATCACGTGTGTAGCGACATCATAGATGTCACTGGGTAATGCCGGATCTAGCGAGGCACGGGTTGGGATGTACTCACATCACAGACATCACGTGTGTAGCGACATCGTAGATGTCACTGGGTAATGCCAGCTCTAGCGAGGCACGGCGTGCGATGTATTGCCATCGCGGACATAACGTGTGTAGCGACATCATAGATCTTACTGGGTAATGCCGGCTCTAGCGAGGCACGGCGTGTGATGTATTGCCATCGCGGACACCCCGTACATGTGGGTGTAGTACCAGCCCTAGAGGGGCTCGGTGAGCGCTGACAGAGAGCGCTGAGTGGCACCACGCTCGGCGTGCAGTGCCGTCCCCTATAGGAGGGGGTGTGAGGGTGCCGGCCATGAATGGGGTTAATGAAGGCCATGGCACTCTGGTTGACCCTGGAAGGCACGTGATGGGTAAAGTCTACACGGGCGCCCCAAGTGGGTGCTAGGGGTGGTCACGTGTTGGGGCGAGATCCTGCTAGAGGGTTCGAGAAGGTGGTCTTGGCCAAGGGCGGAGCCAGCCTCGACCAGAGGGACCGGGGGTTCAGTGTTGCTGTTGTTATCCTGAATATCTACGTTCTACGTCGGAGAAGAGTCACCACCACATGGACCTGGACCCAAGCCGGGGTCCTGTCCGTTGTAGCTACTCTCAGTGTAATTAGCCTGGTGTTCCACCACCATAGGGTGTTATCTGGTAAAGGGGCAGTCACCCCCTTCGTGTTGGTATCAATAAATGTGTTGCCTCCAAAGAGTATGTCTGCGAATCAGTTGAATCCACTACACATCTATTATTATTTTTGTCCAGCTTGCAGCCAATTTTCTGTTGTGATGCATGAGGTTTTCTTCTGACTCTGCAGTGAATATTCCATTTCACCCTCCAGAGAACCCTTTTGTTTTCTCTATTAATTTCGCTTCATATTTGTTGTGGAATTTAAATTTCACATCAGTGAAGGGGTAGTAAACCAAACAAACTCCAAGACAACGCAATAGGCATTCATGTGTTTTTATTATACCCATTACGACATGAATGTGAGACACGCACAGGTGGCAGATATAATCTCCCTTGTAAAGTCCAGGCCGTGTGACACTGTCATCAGCGGGAACAGCATGCGTGGCGTTAAGAGAATGAGCAACCCATGCACTCACAAGTCACAACCTCGACAATGATGACACAAAAAGCAACGTCACGCTGCGCTTTACAATGTCCTACAGGTTCACATGAAGCTGCACGTGATGCGTCGTGTGGTTTTTTTAATCAGTCCTATAACTCGTTGCAGTATTCAACAATTCCGTATTCTTTCCGTAGCTTATTCCCTCCGTATCTTCGTGAAGTTGGGCTGGTGAGATTATGTGGCAGGAATGCGATTTAGGGTAAACATTGGCTGAGTGAATTTTGATTTAAAGCTTTCGTGACTGCAGTAATTCATATTCTTAGTTTTTTCGGTAAAGTCACGTTGAAGAGAAACAACAAAATAACAAAATATATATTAAAAAAAAAAGATCTCCAAAATCTTGAATAAACACAAGATCCAGGTCCGTTTCAACACATTACATAAAATCCGTGATCTGGTTCCGTCTGTAAAAGATGTGATTCCGGACATACAATACCCTGGTGTCTACAAACTAAGTTGCCTCTGTGGTAGTAGTTACATTGGAGAAACCAAACGCCATATCTCGGACCGCATTCGTGAACATAAAGCAGACCTTAAACACGGTAGGACCAACACCTCGGCCGTAGCAGATCATTGTTCTAATTCAGTAGGCTCACATGCCATTGACTTTTCCAAGACGGAGGTTCTTTGTAAGCCATCTGGCTTCCATGAGAGATTCGTTCATGAGGCTATCCACATATACAAACACAGAGACAATTTCAACCGAGAAGATGGATTCTATCTTAGCAATCATTGGAAAGATTTGATAAATCATTTCAGTTCTTGATTGATTGTTCACGCTTACAGTGCCTTTCAGACAGCATACATAAAACAAATTTCGTCTCCCCCCTCCT